AGCAGTCCTGCTGCTGGATTGTTGCACCTCCTACGGCCTCCTCCACGTCTCCTGATGTACTGGCCCGTCTCCTGGTAGCACCTCCATGCTCTGGACACTACGCTGACAGACACAGCAAACCTTCTTGCCACAGCTCGCATTGATGTGCCATCCTGGATGAGCTGCACTACCTGAGCCACTTGTGTGGGTTGTAGACTCCGTCTCATGCTACCACTAGAGTGAAAGCACCGCCAGCATTCAAAAGTGACCAAAACATCAGCCAGGAAGCATAGGAACTGAGAAGTGGTCTGTGGTCACCACATGCAAAACCAGTCCTTTATTGGGGGTGTCTTGCTAATTGCCTATAATTTCCACCTGTTGTCTATTCCATTTGCACAACAGCATGTGAAATGTATTGTCAATCATTGTTGCTTCCTAAGTGGACAGTTTGATTTCACAGAAGTGTGATTGACTTGGAGTTACATTGTGTTGTTTAAGTGTTCCCTTTATTTTTTTGAGCAGTGTATATATATATATATATATATATATATATATATATATATATATATATATATATATATATATATATATACAGTACCAGTCAAAAGTTTGGACACACCTACTCATTCAAGGGTTTTTCTTAATTTTTTAGAGAATGCCAAGCGTGTGCAAAGCTGTCATCAAGGCAAAGGGTGGCCACATTGAAGAATCTGAAATATAAAATATATGTTTATTTGTTGAACACTTTTTTGGTTACTATATTATTCCATATGTGTTATTTCATATTGTTGATTTCTTCACTATTATTCTACAATGTAGAAAATAGTCAAAATAAACAAAAACCCTTGAATGAGTAGGTGTGTCCAAACTTTTGACTGGTACTGTACATATTTATACCAAAAATATATGGGGGATTGGAAATTATGCGGACAATTACATTGATGGAAGCTACAATCTAGCTGCAACATTAAAGCTGATCTACCCCGCAAAAAAATAAATAAACCAAAAAAAAGACCGTGTCTGCATTCCAGAGCTTAGACGTTGCAGACGCCTGACAGATCTTACAACGCCTGGATAGGTATTTTAAGTGTCAGCTAACCACATATGTTATAGCAATCTGCCAGTTGATGACATAGTCGATGAAGTGGCACACAACCATTGGTTGTTGTGTCGCCTCGCCTTAGCTGTGAAACGCGGCCTGTATCTCCATGGCAAGCCCCTTGTGTCATTGTCCGCATCCACTTCCTTTCATAGATTGTGCTCTTTAATCCTCTCTGTAATGTCATCTAATATATAAAGAGAAGTGTACAAGTAAACCACATGGAGCCTGCACACCATGGCAACAGGTCTTGGGAGTCATCGTTGTTGACTGTGATGACATGACTAAAATAGAATCAATTCAGATCAACAGGTGGATTAGTGGCAGAGCGTTTCAAAAAATATAGAATATTTTACTGAAGGGTGTCCATCTGTGTACTAAAAGGGACATTATGGCCTTGTCCAGAAACAACCCCTAGACTCTACTCCCTAGGCACGTGAGTAGATCTGAAAGGAATCTGCAAAATTACTTACAGTAGTTACCCAAATCTTTCTGATCAACATTGAGCAGTGCACATGGTGTAAGGGTTGTATAAGAAAAGGGCTAACATCAGTCTAACTCGTCAGGTCCTGTCAGAAATTAAAATTGGCATCAACAGGTGATTGGATCTGAAGAATTTCAATCCGTATTTAATCGCTAAAGCCCAATTTAAATTTAAAGGCAACGTTCCCGCGTTGGTGGAGACTGCATTCACGGTAAACGTATTCTATAGCGCAATCTGTAACACTTCAGCGATACAGATTGAATAGAGCCCTAAGTTGTTCAGTGTCATGCACTGAAACAGAATACATCCAAAATCCATAAATGAAAGTGAATTTGACATCCATTCACTCGTCACAAAGCCTGTGCATACCAAAATATATTTAAGGTTGTAACAGCAAACTACAAGAGTTTGGTAAACGGTTGGAGACTGGTGATGTATTGTGGGTATTATTATCTGAGGCCCTTATCCTCTGGCAAGAAGAGCAGAGGGTTCTTATAACAGCATCAGTCCACATGGGACATATTAGACAGACATACAGACACTGACTAACTGGAATTTAATCAAATCTTCTAGGCTAGTACCTACACACACACACACACGCACACGCTCGTACGCAGATGAAGTAAGGAGTATTTTTCTAGTCAGCAGTCTCAGCTTTGAAACATACTGCCGCCTTGATAGGATTCTTGTGTTTGAGGGTTTAACATTTTCTTCACTCAGAACAGAGCAGACCGGGTTTGTTGTCTAAGCACTAGTATTCAAATCTCTTCACAGGAGCCCAAAAAACAAAACAAAAAAGGAATTGAAGAAATCTGAATGTTTACATAAAAACTCATGACTGTAACAAGGTGAGTAGGACGGAGCCAGGCGCAGGAGGTGTGAATCAAAGAATAAGGTTTATTTGGACAATACAGCAGTCCGCAGCAATGGGTAAACCAAATACAGTGTGACTTAAATGCGTACTGGGAAAACAAAACACACGGATGAATATCCCGGCGATAAAAGTAACATAATGCTCAACACGAGCTAGCGACACCTCCACATGGAACAATGACACACAAAGACATGGGGGAGCAGAGGGAATAATTATACAGAGACTGATGAGGAGATATGTACCAGGTGTGTGTGAAAAACAAGACAAAACAAATGGAATGATGAAAAGAGGAGTGGCAGTGGCTAGAAGGCCAGTGACGACGAACGCCGAAGCCTGCCCGAACAAGGAGATGAGGCAGCTTCGGAGGGAGTCATGACAGTGCTTTCCCACCACTCTCCTCCCTCCCTCCCTCGTTCTTTCTCTTTTCCTCCGTCTCGCGTAACAGGAGGAAAATGAGGACAAACTCTCACCTTGGCGCTCATACACATTATCTGGAGCTGAGATCTAAGCAATCAGGAGTGTCTTTATTCATTTTCCTATGAATATTGGATGTATGTTTATGCAGATATCAATTCATTAGACAGCCTAAATGGAAGAATACATTAAGAGAATAGCTTATCATAGTGAGTAATGTAATGCATGCGTGGGGGAATTAAATATGCATGACAAATTGTCTTTGGAGGACATACGGCAGCCATGTCCGCTCAACCCTGCTCACCAACTCATTGAAATTCCTTTCATTATCAGTAAAACACTACAGAGAGAAATGGAAGGAGAAAGACAGAGGGAGAGAATGAGAGACTATAGATGAAGAGAAAGAGAAGAAAATGAGAGAAAGCTAACACGACTCAGGATATGACCCAGATGCAGACACAGGAGATGGCAGGTTCAATATACAGAGTCGTTTATTAAAACCACAGGAGGCAGGCAAAGGGCAGGTCGAGGACAGGCAGAGGTTCGTAACCAGGTCTGAGTCTGATAGGTACAGGGCGGCAGGCAAGCTTGGGTTCAGCGCAGGCAGAATAGGTCGGAACCGGGAGAACTAGAAAACAGGGACTAGAGAGAACAGGAGTACGGGAAAAAACACGCTGGTAGGCTTGACGAGACAAGATGAACTGGCAACAGACAAACAGAAAACTCAGGAATAAATGCACAGGGGATAACGGGGAAAATGGGCGACACCTGGAGGGGGGCGGAGACAAGCACAAGACAGGTGAAACAGATCAGGGTGTGACAAAAGCTATTGAAGAAGACCAAGTAAGAGATCACGATTTAGTCACTTTATTTACAAACTTTACCTCAATGCCATACATTATAGTGATATATATTTTTTCTCAACCCACATTTTTTTTTACTGCTAAAATGTATAAGATTAATGCGAAAGAACAACAACTCCCCAATACGTGCTCACTCTCTTTCTCTCTCTCTCTCTCTCTCTCTAACCAACCATGCCAGTTTTTTAAAATATATTTTCATCTAAATAATCTCCCCCCATCACAAACAAAAAAGGCACATCGATAAAAATAAACGAGTCAACAACAAACCTTAGTCAACAACAAACTTGATGTAACTAAAAGACTTGCAGGCGAAAAAGGAGAAGAAATCTCAGGTTTCCCCCGGCCTAACATGAAAACTCTTACATCTCTGAAGTATGCAGCGATCAGGATCAATAATCTCATGAACCAGACCGAAATCAATTTACAGTATTGTTTCCAGTTGGGGTTTCAAAATTCCCCAAACCCTCCACCGGGGATTTCTGATAAACCCATGAAATTTGGGAAAGTTTTCGGAATTTTCCAACCCTATTTTCAGCTAAAAGTCTAGAACTCGCAGGTGCATGCACATCCCTCATACATTATACAAGCAATTGGTAAAAATAATACATTGATATAAACATTTTCACGTATCTTTTGTCAATCTCACCCTCTCAAGCGTACAGTAAAAATAAAGAATAAGATAGTTGTTCATTGAAGAATCAGGGCTTTTTGCTGAATCATAAAACACATTAATACATCTAAAGTTGTCATCTAGCGAAGTGTTACGGCTGGTTGCAGTGTTCATGGGTTGTTGTCAAGTAGTCCTTTATCTACTGTTGTAAAGCGATGTCACATGGAGTTTGGCTGTCCAGCTAGAGGGGAAAGAGGATAGAGGTTATAACACGATACGAAATTATACTATTCAATAACACAACAACACAGCATATCACTAAATGACACGGCAAGACTCAACATAATATAACTGACACGACACAACAGACAATAGTAACAGGATCCCTGGTCAGGTATGACTATGGCATTTCATAAACAGCGGCAGCTAGCCTAGTGGTTAGAGCATTGGGCCAGTAACCGAAAGGTCGCTAGTTCATATCCCTGAGCCGAAAAAGGTGAAATTATGTGCCCTTGAGCAAGGCACTTAACCCTAATTGCTCCAGGGGCGCTGGACAATGGTGACCCCACTCTCAAGGGGAGTTGGGATATGCAAAAAACAAACACAGACTGGAGAACTGAGAATACACATGTAAGCACACCCCAAATTGTTATTATACAGCTTTGAATCTAGTTGGCTCACTTTTCAGCTGGTAGCCAGCTAAAGTCATACTCACTTTTGAATCGCATGTAGCAGGAGTTACAGTAAAGCTGTCGGTTACGTATTCTGACCTCAGCTCCGGCCTCCGATCCTCCCAGGTCAGACTTACAGTCGATGCACTGGAAGTTAGGGAGAGAGGGGAATGGTCAATGAGGGCTAGCCTAGATCCCTCACTCCCAGATGGGGAGAGAAGAGGACAGTCGCCCCCTGGAGGAAAGACGAGTTCCACAGACAGAGCAGCCATGGGGAGAATGCTAGACATATACCCATGGAGCCACAACCAGATAGACAGAGCCCATGAGAGACGCCTGACACTTGACTGACAGACAGAGAGACCAATGAGATTAGCATACATGTAGGGACTTTTGGAAGCTCGTTATGAATTCAGCAGCAGTGTTGGTGATAGGAAATAGTGAGGTGAAGGATTGATTAGTGGGTTTTGGCACAAATGCAGTCAGATTTCATGAAATGCTCATAAAACCATGAAAACAATGTCCCAATACTGTTTGCCATTTCTGCAGCAAGTTATAGATCATAGGGAATTTGGAAGATACTGTCTTTTTCAATTAACTAAAAAGTTCATGGAAACATTACTCCAGTCAAGTTACACTGGAAACCTTAATTAAATGGTAATCATTGGCCACATTGGAAAAGTCACCAACTATCCATCTTACAACCCAGTGGGACTTTGGACTTCTGTTTCCTTGGTTTTGTGTGTACGGTTATAAAGGATCAGACCAGATTGTGAACCATTCATGCTGTTTAGGTTAGTATCACATTAATCAGGGTCAAGTTGTCCACATTAGGACAGCCTCATTCCGTGGATCAGGTTAGTACTGAGATGACAGGTTTAGTCTTTGCTATGGACCAATCATGACCTCAATCTCCAGGTCAGGGAGGTCCGGTCTTGAACTTTGAACTCTCACCTTGAAACAGGTCAAATGATAGCAGAGTCCCAGGGACTCGATGATCATGGCGGCTCCCTTGCCCAGCACCGTGTCACAGAACGTACAGATTTTCTTGCCACTCACTGACCTGAGATTACAGAATGCAGAACACACACACACAGACTGGAGAACTGAGAATACACATGTCCACCCACACAAATATCCACCCACGCACCCGCACCCACACCCACACTGGAAAACTGAGAATACACACACACACACACACATCCAAGCGTCCGCCCTCCCATCCACCCACAGACACAGACAGAAAGACAGACACACCAGTGGAGGCTCCTCAGAGGAGGAAGGGGAGGACCATCCTACTAAGTGAATTTCTGAAAAACTAAATAGTGAAAAAAAGTTATACTTTTTTGATAAAACTATACTAAATATATTCACTTCACCAAATAACTGATTAAAACACACTGTTTTGCAATGAAGGGTTACAGTAGCCTCAACAGCACTCTCTGGAGTAGAACCATGGTGTAGCCGGAGGACAGCTATTTTCCGTCCTACTCTGGGTACATTGACTTCAACACAAAACCTAGGAGGCTCATGGTTCTCACAAGGCTCCATAGACCCACTTCAATTTGCTTACCGCCCCAATAGATCCACAGACAATGCAATCGCCATCACACTGTACACTGCCCTATCCCATCTGGACAAGAGGAATACCTATGTAAGAATGCTGTTCATTGACTATAGCTCAGCATTCAACACCATAGTACCCTCCAAACTCATCATTAAGCTCAAGGCCCTGGGTCTGAACCCTGCCCTGTGCAACTGGGTCCTGGACTTCCTGACGGGCCGCCCCCAGGTGGTGAAGGTAGGAAACAACACCTCCACTTCGCTGATCCTCAACATTGGGGCCCCACAAGGGTGCGTGCTCAGCCCACTCCTGTACTCCCTGTTCACCCATGACTGTGTGGCCAAGCACGCCTCCAACTCAATCATCAAGTTTGCAGACGACACAACAGTAGTAGGCTTGATTACCAGCAATGACGAGACAGCCTACATGGAGGAGGCGAGGGCTCTGGGAGTGTGGTGCCAGGAAAATAACCTCTCACTCAACGTCAACAAAACAAAGGAGATGATCGTGAACTTCAGGAAACAGCAGAGGGTGCACCCCCTATCCACATCAACAGGACCTCAGTGGAAAGCTTCAAGTTCCTTGGCGCAAACATCACTGAAAAACTGAAATGGTACACCCACACAGACAGTGTGGAGAAGAAGGCGCATCCTGTCGGGCTGTATCACCGCCTGGTACGGTAACTGCACCGCCCGTAACCGCAGGGCTCTCCAGAGGGTGGTGCGGCCTGCCCAACGCATTACCGGGGGGCAAACTACCCACCCTCCAGGACACTTCCGATGTCACAGGAAGGCCAAAAACATAATCAAGGACATCAACCACCCGAACCACTGCCTGTTCACCCCGCTATCATCCAGAAGGCGAGGTCAGTAAAGGTGCATCAAAGCTGGGACAGAGAGACTGAAAAATAGCTTCTATCTCAAGGCCATCAGACCGTTAAATAGCCATCACTAGCACATTAGAGGCTGCTGCCAATAGACATAGACTAGAAATCACTGGCCACTTTAAGAAATGGAACACTAGTCACTTTAATAATGTTTACATATCTTGCATTACTCATCTCATATGTATATACTGTATTCTATACTATTCTACTGTATCTTAGTCCATGCCACTCTGTCATTGCTCATCCATATATGTATATATTCTTAATTCCATTCCTTATTTAGATTTGTGTGTGTTGGGTATATGTTGTGAAATTGTTAGATATTACTTGTTAGATATTACCGCACTGTCGGAGCTAGAAGCACAAGCATTTCGCTACACCCGCAATAACATCTGCTAAACACGTGTATGTGACCAATACAAATGTATTTGATTTGATTTAGATTTACAAACTAATTATGACAAATTCCGGAGGACGTCCTCCAACCTAATCAGAGCTCTTGCAGCATGAACTGTCATGTTGTTCACCCAATCAAAGGATCAGCTAGTTAATTTTGCCTACTCGAACACCCGGCTCAAACAGATAGGAATGCTATTCATGTTAGCTAGCTAGAACTCTTCCAAGTCGAGATAAGCTTTTGGTTTTATTAATTTATTGCCACCGTGGGCCGTTGGTGTAACTGCTAAATTGCTTGCAGTACACTGCGTGATTGTAGTGGGTTTACTAAGGCGTTAGTTCTAGTTGCTATGTTGACTATGACGTTAGCTAATATGGTTGACAACGATGTAGACTGTGTGTAGCAGTTAGCGGTTATGGTATGAAGGTTTAGCTTGGAGAGGTCAAGACAGCTGTTGTGTTGTGCACTGTCCACAAGCGAAGGGAAAAGGTAAACGTAGATGCGAGAAGGAATTATACAACGAGAAAAGTGATGATGCTGCTATGAAAGTGAACTTTGAGTGTGCCGATTCTGTTGAAAAAAGTGTCTTAATTGGAAGCAAACGGAACGGGGATAGACCTACCTGAATTTGTCCAATAGAAACTCTCGGAACGTTTTGCAACTGTTTGGATGATTACAACCTAGATCAACTAGATGCAGGCAAGGCAAGGCGGTATTGAATGTGTAACTGTCTGTCACCCTGATTACTCCAATTTGTCTCTCGACATGTGCACCTACATAATACACTTTCATTCGTAGGTTGTAGCAACCTCATGATGGGTATAGGGAAAATGTGAGTATCATGTAGTAGCCTAAACCTATCGATGTTACATTGAGCTGGGTGAATGGAATATGAATGAAAGTCATCCAATATGCTGTAATAGAAATAAGGCCATGCTCGTAAAAAAAAAAGAAATCGTGGTTTCACCACTCACCACACGGACACCACGCACCGACATTTTGATGCATATCAGCATTTGTAGCTTTGGGCAAGTGTTTTTGGTGTTACCCTTAACCCCAGATCTAGAATCTGACCTTTAGCCCTAATATCTGACATTGTATCAGTCATTGGGAGCAAATCTACCTACTCAGTTTTTTGGCAAGCAGCAGTGTGCCACGTGATTGGACGTTGGATGTTTTACCTGCTACGTTGCTGTGAGAATGGGCGTGATTCGGGTTCGGGGCCAGGAGAAGGGGTGGGTGCGAGAGATGAGGGGGTTGGCTGGGACCAGGAAGATGGGTTGCTCCCCCCGGCCCCTCTGAGGGAGCTCATGGAGAGTGAGGAGGGCAGGGTGGCTGAGCCGGGACGACTTCCGGCCCCGCCGCCACTGTAGCCACCACTGCCGTAGCCACCACTGCCGTAGCCACCACCGCTGTAGGAGGATGTAGTGTTGAGACCGGAAAGGGCGGAGTGAGGCCTGCTGTAGTTGGGGATGGACGAGGTGCTTCCCGGTGTCCACGACGAGCGCCAGGAAGAGTGGGGCGCGGTGTCCAGGTTGTCCAGAGACTCGCCTCTGAAAAGTTGAACACATTAGCGGATGTTAGTGGATGTTAGCGGGTTAGCGTAAGCATCCAAATAGCCTGGATACCACAGGCCATTATGTTTCTGATTTAGCCAACTCTTTTGATAACTGCAAACAGAAAAGAGACTGGCATCCAGGCTAGAGCCCAAAACATTCAAGCCACTAAAAACAGTTACTTTTACAAAATTGTTGTTGTAAGTTATGTGTTAGCATGTTACACACAGTTATTCGAGCTATCATTATACAGCATTAAACCCCTGGCGACCCAAACTAGGTAGTTTAGTACACTGTCCATATTGGAACAGAGTAGTCACAAATTCATGGAAGGTGTGTCAGAGCTACTTGGAGTTGGTGTCAGAGTCATGTGGAGCTGTCCTAACATGAACGCCCAGGTGAATCCCAGGTAGAGTACCTTCTAATAGGGCCGGTGAGGCTGGTTTAACCGCTATCTATCATTCAACACACAGTGTACTGTACTGATCCACCAACCCCACACCCCCAGGCCAGCGGAGCCCCAGTCAAGCCCCAGGAAGAGTACCTCCTGATGGGGCTGGCAGTGGGGTCCTTGCTGGTGGTGGTGGAGCGCTGGCGTATCCAGCTGTTGTCTGTGGACAGCTGGGTCTTCTTCTTCATCTCCTGCAGGATCTGCTGCCTCTCCAGCTCCGCCTGGGGTAGGCTCTGCTGGCCCTTACTCCACAACATCTCGCCAAGCCCACCGCTGCTAGTCACTGTGGACCAATGAGAGAAGAGAGGGAGTCAGGGGATGGACATGAGAGCCAATGAGATTGGATGGAAGTCCAGAAATAGACTGTAGACCAATGATTCATCCAGGAAACACCAATACGACCAGTGATTCATTATCATGACAGAGCCACTGGAGAGGACAGATTCATTTTCTGTATTCAGCTTCAGTGACCAATAGGACTTGATCAAGACAGATTATAAAATCTGGAAGTGTCTGTTTATATATTCATTCATGCTAAACACGATTGATCGGCTGAGCTGGTTGGTTGATTGGGTCCTGCATTGATTAGACAGGAGCGGTCAGGAACGGTCGAGGAACGGTCGAGGCTGTGAACCACACCTCTTTCTGGCTCTCTGTATCTCATGGCGTTTAGGATGTTTCTCCTCTCCAACTCCAGCTCGGACGCAGCCCGGAGACTCTGGGCCTTTTTGTCTGCTTTACGTCTCAACTCCTCCTCCAGTAACCTCTGGGCCATGCCCCCCGAGCGGCCGTACCAGCCTGGGCACAGTGTGTACAGTATTCATACTCACTGACATACAGTTAGTTACATATGTGTGCACACACAAACCTCTAGATTGGCTAAAAGTGTCTGGGTACAGCCTCTACAGATACAGATCACACTCACTGACTCCTAATGCCAAATTCACGCTGGTGCACAAGCACGCACACACACACACACACCAGCTTCCCTGCGCTAATTTGAGCAGCTAAATAATGGTTCAACTTCCACCGAAGGTCAATAAGGATGAATTAATATTGAGGACATTAATAAATCCCCACTGACCTTTAGTCTCTGGTTTCTCCACGTCGTCCAGCTCTGGTGTAGATTTCGACTTTGCCCTGCCAATCACAACAAACACATTTAGAGGCGGATAATCAATAATATTAATTCTCTCTCAAATCAATGTACACTGGAAAACACATTATTGATATACTTGGTCGACATCCCAAATTGTACCCTATTCCCTACAAAGCGCACTACATTTGACCAGGGCCGATGGGGCTCTTTGTATTTTCAAATATGTTCAGTTCAATATATTAACACATACAGTACATGAGTGGACCACAATGGAAATAAGCCTTCAGGCTTTGTTGCGTATTATCTGTGATACAACTGTTTTACTGTACAGTGCATTCGGAAAGTATTCAGACTCCTTGACGTTTTCCACATTTTGTTACGTTACAGCCTTATTCTAAAATTGAGTAAATTGTTATTTTTTCTCAATCTACACACAATACCCAATAATGACAAAGCAAAAACAGGTTTTTACAAATGTTTGCAAATTTATAAAAAATAAAAAAATGAAATATAACATTTACATTTCAGATCCTTTATTCAGTACTTTGTTAAAGCACATTTGGTAGCGATTTCAGCCTCGAGTCTTCCTGGGTTTATGCTACAAGCTTGGCACACCTGTATTTGGGGAGTTTCTCCCATTCTTCTCTGCAGATCCTCTCAAGCTCTGTCAGGTTGGATGGGGAGCGTTGCTGCACAGCTATTTTTAGGTCTCTCCAGAGATGTTCAATCGGGTTCAAGTCCGGGCTCTGGCTGGGCCACTCAAGGACATCCAGAGACTTGTCCCAAAGCCACTCCTGCATTGTCTTGGCTGTGTGCTTAGGGTCGTTGTCCTGTTGGAAGGTGAACCTTCGCCACAGTCGGAGGTCCTGAGCGCTCTGGAGGAGATTTTCATCAATGATCTCTCTGTACTTTGCTCCATTCATCTTTACCTCGATCCTGACTAGTCTCCCAGTCCCTGCTGCTGAAAAACATCCCCACAGCATGATGCTGCCACCACCATGCTTCACCGTAGGGATGGGCCAGGTTTCCTCCAGATGTGACATTTGGCCAAAGAGTTCAATCTTGGTTTCATCAGACCAGAGAATCTTGTTTCTCATGGTCTGAGAGTCTTTAGGTGCCTTTTGGCAAACTCCAAGCGGGCTGTCATGTGCCTTTTACTGAGGAGTGGCTTCCGTCTGGCCACTCTACCATAAAGGCCTGATTGGTGGTGCTGCAGAGATCGTTGTCCTTCTGGAAGGTTCTCCCATCTCCACAGAGGAACTCTAGAGCTCTGTCAGAGTGACCATCGGGTTCTTGGTCACCTCCCTGACCAAGGCCCTTCTCCCCCGATTGCTCAGTTTGGCCGGACGGCCAGCTCTAAGAAGAGTCTTGGTGATTCCAAACTTCTTCCATTTAAGAATGATGGAGGCCACTATGTTCTTGGGGACCTTAAATGCTGCAGAAATGTTTTGGTACCCTTCTCCAGATCTGTGCCTCGACACCATCCTGTCTCTACGATCAATTCCTTCGACCTCATGGCTTGGTTTTTGCTCTGACATGCACAGTCAACTGTGGGACCTTAAATAGACAGGTGTGTGCCTTCCAAATCATGTCCAATCAATTGAATTTACCACAGGTGGACTCCAATCAAGTTGTAGAAACATCTCAAGGATGATCAATGGAAACAGGATGCACCTGAGCTCAATTTCAAGTCTCATAGCAAAGGGTCTGAATACTTATATAAATAAGGTATTAAAAAAAATATATATACACATTTGCTGACTTTTTTTTATTTTTTTTATCCTTTTTAGAATAAGGCTGTAACTTACTTATTTTTTGAAAAAGTCAATGGGTCTGAATACTTTCCGAATGCACTGTATGTACTGTCCGGCGAGCTGGAGCAGCCTTCTATGTACTTTTAATTGTCAAATTATTAAATCAAATCAGATAGTAAGATATACTGTGTGCTATGGCTATGGGGCGCATTATGAAACATGGAGTAAGCTGGGAGATGTGTTCTTCTGTTCAGGTCCCAAAAGTGCACTACTTTTGACCAGGGCCGGTAGGGCTCTGGTCAAAAGTAGTGCCCTGTATTGGGAATAGGGTGCCATTTGGGACACACACCAGGTTAACACATGGGGACATGGGCTGCGGTACACATTTAGTTCTGTTGGTTAAATATTGACTCTTAAAACATACTGTATTAGTTATAGGCTTAGGCATGCTTTGCGTTTGCTATTAACAGACTATAGATTTTATGAAAGCAATTAAGTTTAGTGGAATACCTACAGTCTGATTGCAACAGAGGCAAAGTTGTGGCCATTCTAACGCATGCACACACGCATGCACTCACACCAGACCTGGGTTTCAAACACTTGAACATCATACCAAATACTTAATCTGTGCAGGTTTGAGCTTGCCTGGCTTAATAAACCAATAGAATAGTCTGAAAACTGCAAACCCAGCTCATCTGGCACTCAAGGCAGACGTAAGCAAATCCTCAAAGTATTTTAAATTATTTTTTGAGTATTTGAACCCAGGTCTGATGCAAGCACACACTCAACTGATGTTTAGGCTGAACCGTGGCATACACACACTGACCTGTCTGCCATGGATATCTCAGGCTGGACCTTGGCATAGCCATAGAAGTCCCCGACCCTGCCAGCAGTTTTGCGAAAGGGTTATGGGGTTACAGCAGCAGAAAGAGAATATAGACAGACAGACAGACAGACAGACAGACAGACAGACAGACAGACAGACAGACAGACAGACAGACAGACAGACAGACAGACAGACAGACAGACAGACAGACAGACAGACAGACAGACAGACAGACAGACAGACAGACAGACAGACAGACAGACAGACAGGGACAGAAAGAAGGAACAGATGGACAGACAGGCGGACAGACAGGACAAAACACAGACAGAGAAGACAAAACACAAGTAGACCATTAGTGGGGGTTAGAGTTGACTATACAATGTAAAGTAGACATTAGAGCAGGCAACAATTAAAGATGAATAAACTAAATGTTAATGTTTAATATACTGCAGTGAGCTGGTGTTTACAATAAGCATTTGAAGATTAAAGCACAGATTTAGCACACACAAATCTTAAAGCCTTACAAACACTTTAACGTTATTTCTGTAACGACAAAAGCGCTATAGAAGATAGATGGGCTAGAATAAAATATATATAAGAAATGTGAATAAAACCTTGGATGTATAAGGAGGTAACTAACATGAGGCAGAGGCACTAGATCCTCAAATTTTTTTTGCAGTTGCTATATTGTTTATATCGTTGCCTTATTTTATTTGTTCTTTTTCTCTTTTTCTTTTTAATCCTTGGTGTTTAAAACGGTATATGTAAGACAATGGTCTTTTGTTTCTGTTTGATCATTTTATTTATTCATGCGCTTGCTTCAGCAAGACCACTACTGTTATCCGGCATAGTTCTTTTTTATTAGTGTGCTTGCTGAAAGCACACTACTGTTATTATTCACTGTTGTTATCCATCAATTTACCTCTTTAACCTCTCTTAACCCTTGCCTTCACCCCCCCAACCTCTCTTTATCCATCCATCAACCCAAGTACGGGTACGCAAGTACGGGTTTTTTCGGAAAGGCCAGGGTATTTAACTCATTCAAATTCTGCTCAGCTTGAACTCTACATTTGCCAATTTATCCTCCTCCCACTGCCAGAAAAAAAATATTTTTAGACTGCACACAAATGATATGTACCATTTCTAATTCAGGGAGGGAACTGGGTAGGATGGGAAGGGGGAATTATAGGGGAGGAAAAACGGCATTATTGCAAATCTTTATCATTGTAAAAAGCAACACTGAAAAACTGGGTGAAAATAAAAATAATTCCTGTAATGTATACTGGACCATTATCTATAAGTGACCTTGTTCGGCTACATAATCAATTTTAGATACTTTAGGATAATTTGGATATGATGTGCGAAAAATGCTAATATAGGTACAACGACTTGCATTGGATTAGTGCCACAAATGTTAAAATGTTAGCATTTGGAAACAGTGCCAGGGAAACTAAACCAAAGCATGGATTGCTGTCATAACTCGTCCATAGACTGCTTATAGGGTAAGGAAACCATCATTTTGTTATTTGGGTGAACTAAACCTTTAAAGAAAACATTATTATTATTATTAACCATTGCTGCTGCTGCTGCTCCTGCATTTTCTCTTTCTCCCTGTGCTGTTGTTCCGCAGCCTCCTGGCGCCTACTTTCCTCCCTCTCCTCCTTCTTCCTCTGCAATCTCAGCTTCTCCTCTTCCCTCTGTCTCCTCTCCTCATCCTCCTGCTTCTCCCTGCTCTTCCGCTCCTTCTGAAGACGCAGCTGCTCTCGCTCCTCCTCCTCCTCCCTCCTCCTCTCCTCCTCCACTCTCCTCCTCTCTTCCTCCTCCTGTCTTCGCTGTGCCTCCTCCTCTTCCCTCCTCCTCCTTTCCTTCTCTTGCGCTTCCTTGTCCTCCCAGGGCGCGGTGGGCTTGCGTAGGGGGGAGAGGGGGCTGATATTTCTGCTGTCCACCTCCAGGCCTCTCGGTTCCTGAGGAACAGACAGTAAAGGGTTAAAGCCAAAGTCCTGAGTTACAACCAGAAAATTACATTGCTATGGTGTTATGGTTCCTCACCTCTTGGTGGTGTCTGCCCCCTTCTGTCACAGCCTCCTGCTGGGCCCGACGCCACTCCTCCTCCAGCTTCTCCTGGTCACGACGGTATTTCTCCTGATCACACACACGCACACAGAGAGAGACAGGTTGCTGTACTGTATGGACACACCCACACACACACATACAGAGTTTCTCAGGAGCTTTGGTCACCGGCCCCCTACTGACAACCACTTTTAATCACAATTTGATGTAAGAGGAAAATAGTATACTCTTCTTAAACAATAGAAATAGAAAGTGTTGGTTTCATGATAAAGACAAGGAAAGTGCCTCAACTCATTCAACAACTGCCATCCCTTAATATCCCGACAAATAAAAAAATATACCACATTTTATTCTACCAAAACCTAAGAAAAGGGCAATTGGAAGACAAATGACATAACGTCCAAGATTAGCTGAAGTATACCTAACACCTGAGAATGAAAACTGAAACAATCCCAAAGTTTCACCTCCAACCGCTCAGTTTGTTTTAACAAGCTCTACATTCCAACTACGTTCCCCAGAGTAGGTGAACCTTGGTAGAAGCTTGGCAGAAAATCTATGTCTCATTAAGAAATTAGGCCGTTTGACCTGCGGGGAATACAGAGTGGAGGAATAACGAGCCTTGGCTTCTGGTCTACAGCTGCTCTGCAGGGGTCAGGTTGGACACATTTTGATCTCTCTACCTCCACACACACACACTACACTGTTACCTGTAGGATTCTCTCCTGCTCCTTTTGCCATTTCTCCTGCCTCCTGCGCTCCTCCTCCGGGTCCCAGGACCAGTGGTTAGAGGAGGGAGCGATGGAGGCAACGGGCATCTGATGGAGGAGAGGAAGAGGAGAGCAGAGAAGAGACATTGCCATTATTTCCTTTATAGGTGAACAAACTTATCCTGCAAATACACTAATTACTGCATAGTTTTTTCTCCATCTAATGCTTGAATACAAGTAACTCTTACAGTATCTTAATCACACTTAATCAACAAAGCTATTTGAGTCTCCCCAACCCTTATACATATTGTCATGCATTTTACTTGTTTTTCATTTGAATGTTTCATTGTTTATATATTAACGTGATACCCATGTACAGTATTTCAGTGTCTATGACTAAGATGAAAAGTAAAAACTTGAACTTGAACTGTTAGGTATGTTATTCCTTCAGTCAACCTTTTCAAAGTGAGCCACAGATGCTTCAGTCCACTCGAGTTATCATCATCCAATTTCAAAGATTGTTCATACAATACTCAATGACACAAAGGTTGGGGCTAGCATTTTCAATCAAGGAGTTTAATGGGGCTCAGGATCCTGCCCCTGGGGTGGTAGTTAAATAAACCATTACTATCCCACACAGTAAAGATGTCACACACAATGATGGGTCAATGCATTGCAATAACCTAAGAACATAAACACATATTTGAAACCCCAACCACTTGCTTGTAAACATTTGGTAAATATTAAATCGATTTGCTTACATCAGATATCGCAGACTCTGATCCTCCTTGAAAAAGAATAAACATGATCAAATAAATGGATCTAATGTTTATAGTCATATCTCAGTGTCACACCCTGATCTGTTTCACCTGTCTTGTGCTTGTCTCCGCCCCTCAGCAGGTGTCTCCTATTTTTTCCCCATTATCCCCTGTGTATTTATACCTGCGTTTTCTGTTTGTCTGTTGCCAGTTTGTCTTGTTTTGTCAGGTCTTACCAGTGTGTTTCCCGTTTCTCCTGTTCTCAAGTTTTTGTTTTCTAGTCTGCCTGTTCTGACCCTTAGCCTGCCTGCTGTTCTGTCCCTGATTGACTATGCCTAGGATTACGAACCTCTGCCTGCCCTCGACCTTCCCTTTGCCTGACCCTTATTCGGAGAATCAAACTATCCACCTCCTGTGTCTGCATCTGGGTCATATCCTGAGTCGTGATACAGAGTGTTATACAACATTCAGTATATGCTGCCATGAGAAGCATTGTTTCTGTATTCTAAAATACTACATCATTGCCATGTTTGTCAAGACAATTAAAAGTTTGCTAAAGCAGACGCACAGACTGACACCTAGGCTAGACATAATACATGTATTTCAATCTCACACACCTGGATGCTACACAGGCTAATAATAATAATAATAATAATAATAATATAATAATAATAATAATATAATAATAATATTGGCTACCACACAGACAGAAAGCTGACAGGCTTGTTAAAACCTCAACTCTTATCTGAGGTTGAGTGTGTGTTCAGATTTTAAAACTATTAAATGGTGTTTCAACTTTAACCAAACCCTCAGCTATAATTAGAGATTTTTAAATCAAGCCTGAAGCAAAGAAGATGTATTTTAAATTCAACTACAGTCTTGCCAATATTGCCACAAAGAGTCTATGATTTGGGCAGAATAACAGTCCCTGACTGCTGAATAGTAGGTCCCAACATACTGTTGGTGTGTTACAAAGTACATCACACTAACTAGATTCAACTTATTAACATCTCATTAAAATAAAAACATTTTTAAACGGATATAACAACAAACATGCACAAGATGCAAACAGGAATAGAACACAAAAGTCAAAATAAGCACCAGTCACCAAAATGCATGTTGATATGTTGATGCATGCAGAAGCATTGGCTATTAGTAATAACACAAGAGCACCAGCACAGCAAAGCATGCAAGGTTGAGAAGGAGGGGAGCCAATGTGTGACACCTGGACATCATACCAACATACTGTACCATATGCCTGACAGCATATGACACCTGAGTTAACTTTGTGATAGCATTACTTTCTAGGCTTATGGCTTAGTGAATAGCCCAGGGCCATAGATATACACTACCTGACCAAAAGTATATGGACACCTGCTCGTCGAACATCTCATTCCAAAATCATGGGCATTAATATAGAGTTGGTCCCCCCTGCTGCTATAACAGCCTTCACTCTTTTGGGAAGGCTTTCCAATAGATGTTGGAACGTTGCTGCGGGTACTTGGTCCATTCAGCCACAAGACAATTAGTGAGGTCAGGCACTGATGTTGGGCGATTAGGCCTGGCTCGCAGTCGGCGTTCCAATTCATCCAAAAGGTGTTTGATGGGGTTGAGGTCAGGGCTTTGTGCAGGCCAGTCAAGTTCTTCCACGCCGATCTCGACAAACCATTTCTGTATGGGCCTCGCTTTGTGCACGGGGTCATTGTCATGCTGAACAGGAAAGGGCCTTCCCCAAACTGTTGTCACAAAGTTGGAAGCACAGAATCGTCTAGAATGTCATTGTATGCTGTAGCGCTAAGATTTACCTTCACTGGAACTAACTCGCTCGAACCATGAACAGCCCCATTATTCCTCCTGCACCAAACCTTACAGTTGGCACTATGCATTCGGGCAGGTAGTGTTCTCCTGGCATCCGCCAAACCCAGATTTGAACGTCGGACTGCCAGATGGTGAAGCATGATTCATCACTCCAGAGAACGCGTTTGCACTGCTCCAGAGTCCAATGGCGGCGAGCTTTACACAACTCCAGCCGACGCTTGGCATTGCACATGGTGATCTTAGGCTTGTGTTTGGCTGCTCGGCCATGGAAACCCATTTCATGAAGCTCCCGACAAACAGTTATTGTGCTGGCGTTGCTTCCAGAGGCAGTTTGGAACTCAGTAGTGAGTGTTGCAACGTAAGACAAGCGCTAAGCGCTTCAGCACTCGGCGGTCCCGTTCTGTGAGCTTGTGTGGCCTACCATTTCGAGGCTGAGCCGTTGTTAATCCTAGACGTTTCCACTTCACAATAAAAGCACTTACAGTTGACCGGGGCAACTCTAGCACGGCAGAAACTGACTTGTTGGAAAGGTGGCCTCCTATTACGGTGCCACATTGAAAGTCACTGAGCTCTTCAGTAAAGCTATTCTACTGTCAATGTTTGTCTATGGAGAGTACATGGCTGTGTGCTCGATTTTATACACCTGTCAGCAATGGGTGTGGCTGAAATAGCCGAATCCACTAATTTGAAGGGTGTCCACATACTTTTGTATATACAGTATAGTGTATATCACTATCCTATATGGCTCTGGAACAGCCTATGATTGAACATCTTTAATGTTGATTCTCAGTTACTCCTGTGTATGCAGGCTCTCAAAATGCAGGCAATCAAAAACACACAAGCAAGAAGTGAGAACCTGCATGCAGTCTGACATTAATTTTGTGACCACTTCTCTGGAGTCTAGTAGATTGGTATGTTGGTATGGCATTCTGACATGCTGTCTACCCTTTGGTGCTTCAAAGTGTTGGTGAAAACAGTACTTTTTCGTCAAGTGTTTCCCAAGCCTCTCCTGAGGGATCCTCAGACGGTTCTCAATTTGGTTTTAGCCCTGAACGAGCGCACCTGATTCAACTAATCTAGGCCTTTGTGATTAGTTGTCAGCTCAGAGCTGCAACAGAAATGTAGATATATTGCTGGTCCCACAGGAGAGGGTTGGGAGACACTGGTCTAGACTCATTGAGCTCAGACGGCATGTCAGTGTCTCAGGGAGAATCACTGCACACTCAACCCTGTTTACCATAGACATAGACCAGCACACTGACACTGGGCACTGAGAAGCCTGGGTTTGGGAGGAAAGGAGAGACCAGTGGGGTTACACTCCCTCAGTACCAGATCAGATGGAAAAAAGCAGTTGCTTCTAAGCAGCGGGCCCAACATGGATCCCTGGGGAACTCCTGAGTATTCAACTTTTTGTCTCAACCTTCCCTTAATCATGATTAGGTTAAGTCATAATTGAGCCAAAAACCTGTATACCAGGTAGGTCCATAGGAGAACCACTGGAATAGAGAGAACGAGATGGAAGCCAAGAGCACCCAGCCTCCTGATAGTTACACAGACGATTGATAATAACCCTTCACCAACACCAGGGCTCGATCAGGGGTGTTTTACCTTGTTCAAAAAACTCGGACCTCCGTTTTAAGTTTTTCATGGATATGGGTTCTACATGAGAGATGGAGAAATCAGAACAGGGTCAGAGAGCATAAGAGAGTGGGAGAGAAACATTGAAGTAATAGCTTCTATCATGCAGGCATGTGCACAGATAAGGCTCTACCTGTGCAGAGCACATGCCCTTTTGCCCTTCCAGTCTCCAAATTGCCCTTTTGGGTGGTGGTATAATTCTTTTTTTGTATACAGATTTTGTCACTGTTGTTTGGAACCCACTGCCCGCAAGTCATTGTCAAGTTCGCTACCCCTCATCCTGTCCGTTGATTGCGCCTGTTGATCTGCCCTGTACGGAGCTCGCGTGCGCCCGGTTGTGCCTTTTCCCCAGTCTGTCCTGTACGGAGACTCCACGCACCTGGTATCCAAACATGCATGCCTTGAGAGATGCGGTCACTGGTTGAGTGGGTGTAGCTAGCTAGCTAGCTATCTAGTTTCAATATCAAGAGTACTGCCACAGCAGCATAACATTTGATTAACACTTGATAACACTTGATTTAGCCTACATCATCATCAATATTCTGGTTTGCTGATGTACGCAGCAGAAAGACAGAGAGGTAAATCACAATCAGTAAAATAAATTGAGATAGCTAACTATCATCAACATCAATGATCAGCTGATTGCCCACCCTCTTTTCCCGATGTCAATCATGTATTTAGGAGGCACTGTAACTAGTTGGCTTACAATTTGTGATGATGAGCTGTTGCAGAAATAGGCCTATGCTAAAAAAAAGTCATTACATTTTCGCTACAGAGGCATTTGGTATGTTATTATTTTAGAGATATGAATTATGAAAGGTCTGTGCACGGCCCTGCTATCATGGCGTGGGTAACTTCTATCAAGAGCTCCATTCTCCACCACTGAAAACATGACAATTACCCTTGAGGTCTGGCCAAGTCTTTCCAAAATGCTCACACAAACACATCCTACATTACAAGTAAACAGTACATCATCATATCATCAGTACATAATTAAGCAATGAGCATTTCACCACCAAAAACACATACAGTCCCAAAGAGAGAACATTGCTTTCTCAAACTCGTTCCTGTTAATAAAGGCTAGTCATAACCGCTCTGGTTAGTATCTCTGCTCTATGCTCTTTACCTTTGTTTCTCATGGTCACTGTCTCGTCACGGAAACCTCCATTCTCTCCATTGGATGCCACATCCTGCAACAAGATGAAGTAAAAGCCTGTTGAGAACTGTCTGGGGTTTTACCAATACACTGTATTAATATAGATTCAATATGACCATGCAACAAACAAAAATCACAAGTTTTTTCTATATATAAATATTAATGTCCTTACCAACCTTGTCACAACATGTTTGCAACTTTGTGATGGATCATGTTTTATTTGGGTATTTGTGAGTAACACGAAAAGAAACATTTGAACCCTATCAACACCATGAGGTCTTCGTGTAAAACTCACAATTATTGGTTGGGTAGTGACCTCCTTGGTGGTTTCCATGGATCCCCGAGAGGTGAAATCCAAGCTGGTGGTTGCGTTAACGGCGTTAACGGTGGTTGTGTCGGGGGAACCTATAAGTGTTGGATGATGATCCATACTGGTCAGATTGATGGTCTTATGGCTTTTAAATGGCAGGGAAGGTAGGTCTCTGTCCCAGTCTGAACGTTGCAGACATGTGGCAATGGCAAAGATACAAAGGGGTGTGTGTGTTTATGTGTGTGTGTTTGTGTGTGTGTGTGTGTGTGTGTGTGTGTGTGTGTGTGCGTGGGTGTGTGTGTGTGTGAGAGAGAGAGAGATAGAGAGAGAACAATAGAGCAAAATAAAGATATAATGTGTGTGTGTGAGAGAGAGAAAGAGAAAGATAGTATATAAAGTTGAAGTCGTAAGTTTACATACACCTTAGCCAAATACATTTAAACTCAATTTTTCACAATTTCTGACATTTAATCCAAGTAAACATTCCCTGTCTTAGGTCAGTTAGGATCACCACTTTATTTTAAGAATGTGAAATGTCAGAATAATAGTAGAGGGAATAATTTATTTAAGCTTTTATTTATTTCAACACAGTCCCAGTGGGTCAGAAGTTTACATACACTCAATTAGTATTTGGTAGCATTGTTTTAAATGGTTTAACTTGGGTCAAACGTTTCGGGTAGCCTTCCACAAGCTTCCCACAATAAGTTGGGTGAATTTTGGCCCATTCCTCCTGACAGAGCTGGTGTAACTGAGTCAGGTATGTAGGCCTCCTTGCTCGCACACGCTTTTTCAGTTCTGCCCACAAATGTTCTATAGGATTGAGGTCAGGGCTTTGTGATGGCCACTCCAATACCTTGACTTTGTTGTCCTTAAGCCATTTTGCCACAACTTTGGAAGTATGCTTGGGGTCATTGTCCATTTGGAAGACCCATTTGTGACCAAGCTTTAACTTCCTGACTGATGTCTTGAGATGTTGCTTCAATATATCCACATAATTTTCCTTCCTCATGATGCCATCTGTTTTGTGAAGTGCACCAGTCCCTCCTGCAGCAAAGCACCCCCACAGCATGATGCTGCCACCCCCGTGCTTCACGGTTGGGATGGTGTTCTTCGGCTTGCAAGCTACCCCCTTTTCCCTCCAAATGTAACGATGGTCATTATGGCCAAACAGTTCTATTTTTGTTTCATCAGACCAGAGGACATTTCTCCAAAAAGTACAATCTTTGTCCCCATGTGCAGTTGCAAACCGTAGTCTGGCTTTTCTATGGCGGTTTTGGAGCAGTGTCTTCTTCCATGCTGAGCGGCCTTTCAGGTTATGTCGATATAGGACTTGTTTTACTGTGGATATAGATACTTTTGCACCTGTTTCCTCCAGCATCTTCACAAGGTCCTTTGCTGTTGTTCTGGGATTGATTTGCACTTTTCGCACCAAAGTACGTTCATCTCTAGGAGACAGAATGCATCTCCTTCCTAAGCGGTATGACGGCTGCGTGGTCCCATGGTGTTTATACTTGTGTACTATTGTTTGTACAGATGAACGTGGTACCTTCAGGCATTTGGAAATTGCTCCTAAGGATGAACCAGACTTGTGGAGGTCTACAATATATTTTCTGAGGTCTTGGCTGATTTCTTTTGATTTTCCCATGATGTCAAGCAAAGAGGCACTGAGTTTGAAGGTAGGCCTTGAAATACATCCACAGGTACACCTCCAATTGACTCAAATGATGTCAATTAGCCTATCAGAAGCTTCTAAAGCCATGACATCATTTTCTGGAATTTTCCAAGCTGTTAAAAGGCACAGTCAACTTAGTGTTTGTAAATTTCTGACCCACTGGAATTGTGATACAGTGAATTATAAGTGAAATAATCTGTCTGTAAACAATTGTTGGGAAAATTACTTGTGTCATGCACAAAGTAGATGTCCTAACCGACTTGCCAAAACTATAGTTTTGTGGTTGAAAATCGAGTTTTAATGAATCCAACCTAAGTGAATGTAAACTTCCGACATCAAATGTATGTGTATGTGTGTAAGAGATAGTGTGTGTGTGAAAGCATTGGGAAAGGTACTAGTACTTTAAAGGTACTACTATACAACTATAGTACACAAAGTATTTACGCTACCGCTTGGAAGGGAACATAAGGTTGCTGTTAAGGTGTTATTCTAAAGAACAGTGGGGAAAACAGAGAAACCACCTTCCGCACCCATGCACAATCTACAAACCCCTAGCTTTACCAACAGGTTTACACGCTCTCCTGCAAATGCGTCTATTTTGATATGCATTGCACATTCAACAGATCACACAAATCAATATACTGACTGATGTTTAGGTGGTATAATCGTGATATAGTAGGATGTGTAAACCTGTTGGTGAAAACATACAGTGAGCTCCAAAAGTACTGGGACAGTGAGATTTTGTTTTGGCTCTGTACTCCAGCACTTTGGATTTAAAATGTTTCAATAACTGTGAAGTGCAGACTGTCAGCTTTGAGTTGATGGTATTTTCATCCATATCGGGTGAACTGTTTAGACATTACAGCACTTTCTGTACATAGTCTCCCCATTTTAGGGGACCAAAAGTATTGGGACAAATCCACTTATATGTGTATTAAATTAGTACAAGGTTAAGTATTTGGTACCATATTCATAACACGTAATAACTACATCAAGCTTGTGACTATATACATTTATTGGATGCATTTGCTGTTTGTTTTGGTTGTGTTTCTCTCTCTCTCTCTCTCTCTCTCTCTCTCTCTCTCTCTCTCTCTCTCTCTCTCTCTCTCTCTCTCTCTCTCTCTCTCTCTCTCTCTCTCTCTCTCTCTCTCTCTCTCTCTCTCTCTCTCTCTCTCTCTCTCTCTCTCTCTCTCTCTCCGTCTACTCACTGTTACTGCCGTGGCGGCGTATGTCCATGGTGAGGCTGCCCTGCTGCAGAGCCTGCTCTGTGCTGCTCTTCCACTTGCCGTAGCTCATCTCTGCCACCCTTTGCCCACTCACAGACAGCACCTCGTCGCCCACCTGCAGTTGGCACAGCTCCGCTGGGCTGCCTGGGGGGCACAGAGAGGGGCAGCGAGGTCAGATATAGAGAGGGTAAAGAAGGAACAGAAGGAAGGAACAGGGGTCAGACATAGAGATTTTAGAGGGCACAGGGGGTGAGATAGATATGTAGAGAGGGAACCGGGGCTCAGATAGAGAGGGTAGAGAGGGCACTGGGGTGAGTTAAAGAGTGGGCAAGACAGGTGTCACAGTAGTGATGTAGAGAGGTCAAGATCAAATGAAACTGCCACAATAAAGAGAAGGCAGTGATTGCAATAAAACATCTCAATGATTTAATGTGGCTTCCGCTTCTTGTCTCCTTCCCTCATCTGCAGTCAGGGGTGGAATGACAACGGGTGCCAAGTACTCCCCTAGCACATACAGTGTAGGCTAGAGAGAGACAAGCCCAGCAGATCTGACCTAGATAGAGGCTGCCCTACATAATGCCGGGCACATGATCTGCTACTGACTACTTCTCTTCTAGTCATCATTCTTCTAGTCAGTCTCTTCTAGAAACATTTGTGTGTTGAAAATGCATAACCACTTGTATAATGTATTTGCACACACTTCAAACAGACATACATACCCCACCAGACACGCCACTATGGGTTTCTTCACGGTACCCAAACCAAAAACAGATTGAATGTGTAGCTCAGTTATGTGTAGAGCCATGTCATCGTGGAATGCACTACCACCAGAGGTCACTCAGGTAAAAAGCAAGTTTAGCTTAAAAAAACAGATTTAAAAAACATACTGTATGACAGCGCCTCTCCTCTTTCTAAAGATCTAATTGAACTGTACTGTAAGAATATGAATACGTATATATAAATAGTGTGTACATAGTATTTTTTGTTGTGTCTTGGTGTCTTTCCTATATATAACTCGTATTTTTTTTTTTTTTATGTTTTAATGTAATATAGTTTACCAAGCCACCAATTACTTCCCACTGGAAGAAGTTAAGCTACACAAAATCTACCCTTAAGAAAAATATAGTTTACTTAACTAAAGTTATTTTGAAAAATGATAATGTCGAAGGGCAGTTTTATTCCCAGTGTCTCACACATTGTCCATTGCTTAAATAAACAACCTTTTAAAACTTTCTCACTGAGATGAGAGATGAGACTGCTGTGCCAGTGGAGGCTGGTGTCACTTTAAATCGAAGGATGCGCTCATTGTTAAGGCTGGACTGGAACGGTACCAAATGTTTTATACCGTTCCATTAATTGCCATTACTCTGTGCCCATTCCCCCTTCACTATTCTCCACCATGCTGTATGTACGGTGGCCTGGTTTACAATCAGACAGTTTGTTCAGTGTTTGGCCTTGACAGTTGTTACTCTTTGTTTGTGTTAACCATGCTAAATGTGTGTGTTTTGTGCTAAATGTGTGTGTATGTGTTTACCTGGTTGGATGGAGGTGATGTGTGCTCCGGTGGAGTCCCACTCTGTCTGGAAACCAAAGTCTCTGCTGCTGTTGGGCTTCTGGTTGAGACTAATCCGCATGTCAGCGTAGCTCTCCTACACAACACACACACACACACACACACACAGAAATCCAGGTTGTGTTCCAAAGCCAGGGAAAGGATAACATTTGTTCTTCACTATGAATTATTAATTGCTGTCTGACAATGACAAGCATCGCTCCTACTGTATCTCCAACTGAATGTAGCACTAGCTGCATAGAATAGTATGCACAATGACACTACAGTATCCAGTGCACATCGTACTCGCTTTCTCACTCACTCACTCGTTCCAGCACTGTGCCTGCTACTTCCATTCCAACATTTCTTTAACAAATTGGTTTTACATTTGATGTCCTTATTTCTATATGCTATTTTTGGCTTCAGCTCTGGACTACTGCAAATTTGCACTGAAAAAGTATAATCTGCCGAATAACCAAAATCTAAACCTACCTGGTTTGTGTCTTTTGCAGATAACGGACTGACTGGGGCTGGGGAGGTCACTTTTGGGGTCTGGAGGGCGGGGGAAGGAATCCTGGCCTGAGAAGGGGCCAGGGTAGGGGCAAGTGTGGGGGTCGCACCCCTTTCCCTCTCCTCTTCTTCTTCCTCTTCCTCTCCTCCACTGCTGTGGGCGGAGCTGGAGAGGGAGCGCGCCTCGTCCTCAGAGGTCATGACCTGGCTATAGCGGCTGGGGGCCAACGGCTTCTTGGTGACATCCGTCTCTCCGTTCACACGTTTCTGAGAGACACCCATCTGAGGAGCCTACAGTGCATTCGGAAAGTATTCAGACCCCTTCACTTTATCCACATTTAGCCTTATTCTAAAATGGATTAAATTGTTTTTTTCCCCCCTCATCAATCTACATACAATACCCCATAATGACATGGGGTTAAAACAGTTATTTTTTTTATTTTAGCAAATTGTCCTGTTGGAAGGGGAACCTTCGCCCCAGTCTGAGGTCCTGAGCGCTCTGGAGCAGGTTTTCATCAAGGATCTCTCTGTACTTTGCTCCGTTCATCTTTCCCTCGATGACTAGTCTCCCAGTCCCTGCCGTTGAAAATCATCTCCACAGCAGGATGCTGCCACCACCATGCTTCACCATAGGGATGATAGTTCCTATGTAGTTGTATGAAGTTCCTGACACAACTTATTAGCTCGTGGACAGACGCGCGTAATATAAGATGGTATCATAGCGTCTGTCAACCGACTGTGGGATGCGAAGACTAATGCGGAACTTTGTTCCAGTGCGCAGATTTCTTCGTCACTGATCATTTGGACAAATCATGATTTCGCAGGTGTTTGCATGTTTCGAATTTCGGACGGGGAGGGGACAATTGGCCCATGCTTTGGCTGAGTGTTTCTATTTAGGGGGAGTGGAGACTGGTCTCATTGATATCTTTTATCATCCATCTCCCCCTAGAACCTAATCGAGCATCTGACTTTATGTTCTGGGTTTCCGAAATTACTAACACTCAAACAATCACTCAAACTACACTGGAAATAGACTGCACTGCAACCGACACAACACAACATTCCTACAGTCTTAGGTCCTGTTCATTATGCACCAAATAGAGGAAAATGGACTGAAACAGGTCACGATTATCTGGATTTAGCCATTGAAGTACCTCACCCAAATCCTCTAGTCTACAGTAGATGTCCTAAAAAGCAGTTTCTGCAGAAAGCAGTCCTGAGGTAACAAACAACTATACACACAGACAGAACTGGACATGTGGAAATATTACTGTATACTATGGTACTCACGGTGTAGGCGCAGGGCAGTGATGCGACGCGTGTGGACTGGCTCCCGAAGGGCCGTGGAGTGACGACAGAGGTGAGCCGAGCGCTATCCGATCTCATGTAGCTCCTGGGGAGAGAGGCAGAAACCCGAGACACACCGGGAGGCATGGGCTTTGGGTCCATCACCACCGAGTTGTACTGTGGTTGTTGTTTGTATGGAGAGCCACCACCAGTGGAGGGGGTCACTTCTTCAGACACCTTGCCTACCCATGGTCGACTGGGCTCGGGCGCTTTGGGTAGGAAGCTGGGGGTGGTGGTGGTGGTGGTGCTTAAGGTCTCCTCCATCTTGGCTGTACTGGTATACCGCGAGGCCGGGCTTGGGGCTTTCTCCGAGGGAGTCGGGGCTGGAACGTAGGGGTTGTAGTTGGAGGTACGACCGACCGTGGTAGTGTTGTTGGTGATGTCGCTAACAGAACCGGAGGGACTGTCGCTACTGTCGCTACTGTCACTCATGTTGCCCCTAGATGGCGAGCCAGCCCTGTTGGTTGCCGTGGTGGCAGCGGGGGCCTCCTCCTTTGGGGGGGGCACGGAGGAGCTAGTGGTGCTGAGGCGGTCAACAGTGGTGTAGGGGTAGGGGTTATCGATGGTGTAGCTCCTCGGGGGGAAGGTGCGGCGGACCGGGGCGGAGTCTTCAAACACGTCCTGGTCCAGGGAGGCGAGGGAGTTGAGGCGACTGCCGATGGAGCTGTGGGGATGGAGAAGAGAGGGAGGGTGGTGAAGTAGAGAGGGAATAGTGGGAGGGAGGGAGAGAGAGGGGAGAGAGGGAAGGGAGGTGAAAGAGAGAGGGGAAAGGGATTAAAATGTGTAAGGTAAGAGAGAGAGAGAGAGAGAGAGAGAGAGAGAGAGAGAGAGAGAGAGAGAGAGAGAGACAGGGTAAAAGGAAGATAGGATGGGTGAAAGAGCGAAAGGAGCCGAGGAAAGGAGGCGAAGAGGCAAGGGAGGATGGGAGAACAGAGGAAAAAGGGGGATAAAAGGATTGAGAAATGGTGAAAGGGAGGAGGGAAAGAGAAGTTTGAAAGAACAAAAAAATTGGTGAGGCAGGATCTAAGCCACAATTAGATTACACTTTCACACAACACTTTGCAGAGAGACAATTTCTGTTCATTCATTAACACAGTCTCAGGTCACTTTCTCTCAGGGCAAAAGTCTCCACAAAAGTCTGTTAACAACACAAACGTTTGTATGGCCCTGTATTTGTCTCTGCGTCGTCATCGACAGCGGTTTGTTGGTGCAGTCAGTACATATACAGTAACAGGACAGCTTTGAGTGAGAGTGAAAACACATCTAAAAACACTGATGAGAATTCTGATGACAAAATACTTAAAACAGGGTAAAACATCTACAACCAATAAAGGATTACATGTTTCTAATTGTCTGTACAAAAATAATGATGTATACCTTGTAGGAGCATGGCTAGCCCAAATGCCCTTTGGTAACTGTATAGAATATAGAGAACATAGTAACAAGAACACAGGCATACTGTGTCCATAATAAGTATGTAGGTTGTATGTTGGGAGCTTTTGGGAAAGAGCACAGTTAGAAAGATATGGCATATAGAAGCAAACCGGATGGAAATCATGAAAATGATCGGAGAGGTTGAGAGTAGTAGAAGTTCAGGAGCAAAAACGAATAAAATAGAATTATTGTAAAATTGACTGTGTCCATAAGGTGTAGATAGTAAGTATAGGCTGGAAGTAGAGGCCTGGGCATTGTTGTTCACTAATTTACCCCAAGTAGGGAAAGGATGGCGGAGTTGAAAAGGAATAAAGGGGAGTATATATATGAAAAACATGGGGGATTGGAAGTGATGCAGACAATTACATTGATGGAAGTTACAATCTATCTGCAATATTAAGCTGATCTACCCCAAAAAAAAAATAATATAATAATAAAAAATAAAAAATAAAAAAAAGAACACAGGCAGGATTTGTACTTGAGGGTGTCTAGTCCAGCAGATACATTACTTTCAACAATAATTTGCACTGCAGCAAGACTGTTGGGCTTGATTCCTTTTTTAAGTCTTACATTCAGTCAGGGCATATTTCATGAACACATTTCATTATATAGGTTATTGTTAGATGATTGCTAATAAACTTGGCAATTGCCACATTAACAATGTACTTTGCTGCAGCACAGGCATTCAAAAAGTAACAGTTTAATGCCCAGACCTGTATGTACTCAACCCAGGTGCAGTATCTACCTATCCCCACTGTCATCTTCATTAGGCACCAAACGGAAGAACAGGCAGGGACTAGGTGGACATGGAGGGATCAACAGGACATGTCCAGTAAGAAACCCTCATTATAATTTTCCCTTGCAAATTGTTTTCCGTTGACTGCCCGCATTAAATCATTAGCCCTGGTGTCTACCTGTGCTCAGGTGTCACTCTATTACCTCCAATTGGACCTCTGTAAACCGCCGCTCCCTCCTCCGGTGCTCGCTGTGCTCCGCTCCCTCTCCTCTTTCTTCTTCACAATATCAGAGTTGAAGCTCTTGCGACGGTTCTTCCACTTGGTGAGGTCCTGCGGAGACGAAACACAAGTCAGAGACCTCCTTAGAAACGTGCATCTTGGAAAAACTCATGTAACAGTTAAATCCCCTAACGGATGTCGAGGGTGGATAATGTGAAAGTGGTTAGCCGCATAGTAGAGGACAGAGACAGTGAGAGAGACAGTGAGAGAGAGAGAGAGAGAGAGAGAGAGAGAGAGAGAGAGAGGACTAGATTCGAAGGTATCCTATTTGTGTCAGTTTAGCTCCTCCCGCCTCACGTCCCGTGTGTATTGGGGCCCATGAATGACCTAAATCTGTGCTAAGACACCAAGACACCATACTATACTGCTGCACTATGTTATCACACCACTGATAGACATATAGCACTGTAACTGGTTACAGTAACAGGTAAGAATGAGGCCTTTACCATACTCACTCATATTTCGTGGAATAATTACATGAACTGAGTTGGACATGGTGAAACATTGTGAAATGACCTAACTTTTGCATCCTGCCCCTCTTTTTCTTCTCTCTCTCTTTTTCTGTGCACTCTCTTCACTCTTTCTCTTTCTCTCTGTACCTTTACAAAACAAGCTCTCCTTTCACCTGTACCCACAGGCACACACTGGGCCAGAATACCTGTTCTCTTCAGATTTCCATTCTCCCCATTTCAAATACTAACTAGACTGATCTATCATACAGTATGTTGTTACCTGTAGACAGCTGGGATGGCTTTGACTTGAGTGTACACATTTTAGACAAGGATACAATAACCATGGCTTATATATTGACATGTTCGATGACTGTTTAATCTGTGATAATTAAACAGGCCTAGTTCCGTACGTGTTAATGACCATACTAGATTGCGTAAAGCATGGGTTGGACAGGTTTTTCATTCTTATTTTAATGGCAAAGTCAGGGGAACAGCAATAGTGATTCACAAACGAGTACAGTTTTCACCCCCACAGATTATTTCAGATCCTGTAAGAAGTTATACAATAGTTAGTGGCCCCCTCTTCCAGACCCCTGTAGTACTTGAGAATGTTTACACCCCTAACTGGGATGACACTAGATTCATGACATCTCTTTTAGCCTCTCTCCCTAATCTTGACACCCACCGCCTTGTCTTCGGCGGGGACCTTAACTGTGTTATTGAACACTTGAACACTTACTCCTTCTGGGATGGCAAAAGCTCTTTCTACATTCATGACCCAAATGGGTTGTGTTGATCCATGGCGCTTCCTCCACCCGGTCACAAAGGACTTCTCCTACTTTACTTAATGTTCATCAAGACTACTCGCGCATAGACTACATTTATTTTATTTTAGATAGAGCCCTTCTCCCCTCAGTTAAAACTACATAATATTCTGCTATAGTAATTTGGGACCATTCCCCCCACATTCTGGATTTAGCTCTTACTCCGAGCGCAAAAAAACTGTTGAATTGGAGATTTAACACGGCCCTATTGTCTAACAAAGAATTCTGTGACTTTATTTCAACCAACATAGACGTATTCATTCAAACAAATAAAAATGACGACACCTCCCCCTCTCTTCTTTGGGAGACTTTCAAAGCTGTATTACGGGGAAAGATAATTTCTTACAAAGCTCATTTTTGTCAAACAAAGAAAACTGAAACGTCAAGAACTGGTGGACTCAGTGCTGTCAATAGACCACCAATATTCAACTTCACCATCCCCTGAATTATACGCAGAGAGGCTGAAACTTAAAACTCAATTTAATCTGCTTTCCACTGATAAAGCAGAGTTTCTGTTGCAATGAACAAAGGGGACGTACTACGAATATGGTGACATGGCCAGCCGCCTTTTGGCACACCAACTTCAAATCAAATTGTATTTGTCACCTTACCGCAAATTGCTTACTTACAAGCCCTTAACCAACAATGCAGTTCAAGAAATAGAGTTAAGAATATATTTACTAAATAAAATAAAGTAAAAAATTAAATAAAAAGTAACACAATAAAATAACAATACAGAGGCTATATACAGGGGGTACCGGTAACAAGTCAATGTGCGGGGGTACAGGTTAGTCGACATAATTTAGACATGTAGGTAGGGGTAAAGTTCCACAGTCAGCATCTCCAGTTAGCATCTCATCTTATCTCTCAGGTATATGACTCTTACAAGTGATCCCTCTAATATTAATTCAACTTTTGTGTCATTTTATTCTATCCTCTACAAATCTGAACCCCCATCAGATAATACGGCTATGGACAACATTTTAGATAACTTGGACATGAGTAAAGTTCTGGACAACCCTTGCATCTAGATGAGATAACAAAGGGTCTAAAGTTAATGCAAAGTGGCAAGGCCCCAGGCCCTGATGGCTGCCCCGTCGATTTGTATTAACAATTCTCAGATCAACTCGCCCCATTATTATTAAATATGTTCACTGACTCGTTATCACAGGGCTGTCTCCCCCCAACGCTAAATCAAGCCTTCATCTCACTTACACTCAAGAAAGATAAAGATCTGGCAGAATGTGGTGGATATCGGCCCATTTCACTTTTGAACACTGATGTTAAACTATTAGCTAAGGTTCTAACATGCCGGTTGGAACCCTGCCTTCAGCATGTCATACAGTGCCTTGCAAAAGTATTCATCCCCCTTGGCGTTTTTCCTATTTTGTTGCATTACAACCTGTAATTTAAATTGATTTTTATTTAGATTTCATGAAATGGACAAACACAAAATTGTCCAAATTGGTGAAGTGAAATGAAAAAAAATAACTTGTTTCAAAAGATTCAAAAAAATAAATAATGGAGAAGTGGTGCGTGCATATGTATTCACCCCCTTTGCTATGAAGCCCCTAAATAAGATCTGGTGCAACCAATTACCTTAAGAAGTCACATAATTAGTTAAATAAAGTCCACCTGTGTGCAATCTAAGTGTCACATGATCTCAGTATATATACACCTGTTCTGAAAGGCCCCAGAGTCTACAACACCACTAAGCAAGGGGCACCACCAAGCAAGCGGCACCATGAAGACCAAGGAGCTCTCCAAATAGGTCAGGGACAAAGTTGTGGAGAAGTACAGATCAGGGCTGTGTTATAAAAAAACATCAGAACATCCCACGGAGCACCATTAAATCCATTATTAAAGAATGGAAAGAATATTGCACCACAACAAACCTGGCAAGAGAGGGCCGCCCACCAACACTCATGGACCAGGCAAGGAGGGCATTAATCAGAGAGGCAACAAAGAGACCAAAGATAACCCTGAAGGAGCTGCAAAGCTCCACAGTGGAGATTGGAGTATCTGTCCATAAGACCACTTTAATCCGTACACTCCACAGAGCTGGGTTTTACGGAAGAGTGGCCAGAAATATAGTTCTGTTTTTTTGTCTTATTTTTGTTTGTTTCACAATAAAAAATATTTTGCATCTTCAAAGTGGTAGGCATGTTGTGTAAATCAAATGATACAAACCCCCCAAAAAGGGTTTCAACCTGGTTGAGTGGGATTATTTATTTAAGATTTGGTGAAGATTTGGTTTTGGGTCCAATTTCATCTCATGGATACGTCTGCTCTATTCTGCTCCTACGGCTACCGTACACACCAACTCTCAACACTCAAAATACTTCCCCCTCTCCAGAGGGACCCGTCAAGGGTGTCCTATGTCTCCGCTCCTTTTTGCACTTGCGATAGAACCACTTTCCTTGGCCTTAAAATTATCATCATGATTCACTGGAATCCACCGAGCTGGTGAAGAACACAAAGTGTCACTGTATGCAGATGATTTACTATTATATATAACTAACCCTGTGAACTATGTCGATAACATAACGCATATTTTAAACACATTTAGATCATTCTCAGGTTACAAATTGAACATTCAGAAAAGTGAATGTTTTCTGATCAACACCGCTGCCAAACATAGGACAGCCGTCTTCTCTCTCTCCAAATACTTGGAGTGATCAGAGTTGGAGGGAGGCTGCGCCAAGCAGAAGTCTTGGATACCGATGCTATCCATCGAATTATCCTTGACTCCAGACACCCTCTCACCAGCCTCCTCATCAAGAGTTATGATGAGAGGCTTCTCCACCCAGGGCCAGAGAGAGTCTATGGGGAGATGAGGCGGAAGTACTGGATACTTGGAGGACAAGGAGCCATTCACAAGCACCAATACGCCTGCATGGAATGTCAGAGATGGTGGGCCAGAGCAACTGTGCTCAAAATGGCAGATTTGCCCCCTGCTCGCGTGCACCTCCTCAAACCCCGCTTCTGGTCAACAGGAGCAGATTGCTTTGGGCCCTTTACGGTCAATCTAGGTCGTCGAGTGGAGAAGCGCTTGGGCATTATTTTCAAGTGTTTGACAACTAGATGCGTCCACCTGGACCTACTGGAGAGTTTGGACACTGAATTCTTCCTCATGGCCCTACGGCAGTTTATCTCCCGACGGGGGAATCCATACGAGATCCTGGCTGACAGGGGTACAAACCTCAAGGCAGGATAAGCCAGGTTGGAGGAAGCCTTCCAAGCAATGGAACCAACCCTCCAGGATCAACTGATGGACCAACAAATCTACTTCAAATTCAATCCTCCAAGAGCTCCTCAGTTTGGAGGCACGAGAGCTCAAATCTGTCACACCGAATCTGCTCTTGATGGGGCGCCAAGACGCCTCACTTCCTCAAGCCATGTATGCTGATACCAACCTCGTTGGCAGACGCCGGTGGCGGCACAGCCAGATCTTGGCTGACCATTTCTGGGCCCGATTCATTCTGGGATTACCTACCAACCCTACAGCACAGAGGGAAATGGCGGAGAGAAACGGCCAGCCTGGACACTGGCCAAGTAGTAATAATAATGGACCCTCAACTGCCTCGAGCCTCCTGGCCGGTGGGCCATATCACCAAGACCATGCCTGGGACCGACGGTCGTGTTAGATCAGTGGAGATCAAGGTAAAGAACCGGACATATATCCGGCCAGTTGCCTGACTAATTCCTCTCCCTGAGTTGACAGAGGACGTGGAGCGATGAGCCTTGTGAGGAGTATGGAATTTTACAAATTTCCGGGGTGGCTGTAGAAAAGGCCTATGGAGTTGGTGGAATCACCCTTTAATTCATGGCCAATTGCGCAGCTGGGCCAGAGTGCTTTAATTCGGTCAGGTGAAAATGTCTGACAGATCTCAACTCATTAAAAGGAGGAAATCACCACCGCCCGACCTAGCTGCTTTCTCTTCCCCAACTCCGTCTAATCCAGACATTTTGTGCATCCACGAATCAACGTAAATCCACCGAATCTGTTATCTTTCATCTGAATTATCTGTTGCGATCAGGAGAGCGGGAGAGCGGGCCATCAGTTATTGTTTCTAGTTATTACTGCGGAGTGTGGCTTGGTGCACACGCTTCAAACCCATTGTGTTATGTCAATGGACAATGATCACGGCCTTACAGATCATCACATGCCAATTATGCCATTGATATATGGTTAAAATGTCACAAAATAACATGTAAATATGAAGACAATCCTGGAAGAATGAAATAGGAAACTTTATTATTATTTTCTAAATTGATCAATCCTGACATCAAACGTATTGAGATTATAGATTGAATAATTGATAACTGATCGATTTATTTGCATTATCATTCTCATGATTATGATGAATGGTTATGATCCTAAAGGACTCAATCATGCTTCATATTGAATTCCTACTGAAATGAATTGCTGAATTACCTCATTATGTTAATAATGAGAATGATTGTTATGATTTGACTTTTGTGATTATGAATTTGATTGGATACATGTTATTCTGTTTCCTTTGTTATGTAGCACAGACAAACTACCCAGTAAATATACCACTTTGTGGTTAAAGGAATTCCTGCCTCAGTCTCCTGACCCGTGACCACCTGTTCACCTTCACTATTGTCAGTCATCCTACCTGTCCAGCTACCCACACAGATTCCAATAATCTTTCAGTTTCTATTGGACAAATTCTGGTAGGTCCTTACCAGTTTCGTCCTGTTTGCTTCCATTTGGTTCTTAGTGAATACACCCCAAGTCTACCTGATCCAATTACAAACGCTAATTTTCATTTAGCGTTTCAAGATGTTTTGTCACAGTATGCCTACTGAACTGTGGTGGTTGCAGGTTCATGTACTCACATCCTGCCACTGGTCCTCATTCTCCTTGACCTGCTCTCTGATCTTCTGTAGCTCCTCGTAGCGCACCTGCTTCAGGTCCACCGCAAGGTCTGTCATTGATTTGCTCCTACACACCGCCAGAGAAGAGGAAGAGGGTTTAAAGACAGGTTTGGGATCAGTGTCAACTCAGTTACAGGCATTGGACCATCAGCAAGGAGCATAAACGTACTGTGCACAAGACTGATGTTACTGTCACAAAGTAGGCTACAGATGTATGTGTCAACATACACTCCAAATCCACTACAATCCCAGATGCTGACACACATGCCAATCATTAATGCTCTCAAAATGTGGAACAAAAAGTGCTTGTTAAACTAAATCTCAATTAAATAAACTGAAACATACTTTTACACATACAGTGAGGGAAAAAAGTATTTGATCCCCTGCTGATTTTGTACGTTTGCCCACTGACAAAGAAATGATCAGTCTATAATTTTAAAGGTAGGTTTATTTGAACAGTGAGAGACAGAATAACAACAACAAAATCTAGAAAAACGCATGTCAAAAATGTTATAAATTGATTTGCATTTTAATGAGGGAAATAAGTATTTGACCCCCTCTCAATCAGAAAGATTTCTGGCTCCCAGGTGTCTTTTACATTTACATTTTAGTCATTTAGCAGACGCTCTTATCCAGAGCGACTTACAGTTAGTGAATACATATATATTTTTTTTTATACTTGCCCCCCCGTGGGAATCGAACCCACAACCCTGGTGTTGCAAACGCCATGCTCTATCAACTGAGCTACATCCCTGCCGGCCATTCCCTCCCCTACCCTGGACGACGCTGGGCCAATTGTGCACCGCCCCATGGGTCCCCCGGTCGCGGCCGGCTGCGACAGAGCCTGGATTCGAACCAGGATCTCTAGTAGCACAGTTTGCACTGCGATGCAGTGCCTTAGACCACTGCGCCACTCAGGAGGAGCTGAGACCACTGCGCCACAGGTAACGAGCTGAGATTAGGAGCACACTCTTAAAGGGAGTGCTCCTAATCTCAGCTTGTTACCTGTATAAAAGACACCTGTCCACAGAAGCAATCAATCAATCAGATTCCAAACTCTCCACCATGGCCAAGATCAAAGAGCTCTCCAAGGATGTCAGGGACAAGATTGTAGACCTACACAAGGCTGGAATGGGCTACAAAACCATCGCCAAGCAGCTTGGTGAGAAGGTGACAACAGTTGGTGCGATTATTCGCAAATGGCAGAAACATAAAATAACTGTCAATCTCCCTCGGCCTGGGGCTCCATGCAAGATCTCAACTAGTGGAGTTGCAATGATCATGAGAACGGTGAGGAATCAGCCCAGAACTACACGGAAGGATCTTGTCAATGATCTCAAGGCAGCTGGGACCATAGTCACAAAGAAAACAATTGGTAACACACTACGCCGTGAAGGACTGAAATCCAGCAGCGCCCGCAAGGTCCCCCTGCTCAAGAAAGCACATATACAGGCCCGTCTGAAGTTTGCCAATGAACATCTGAATGATTCAGAGGAGAACTGGGTGAAAGTGTTGTGGTCAGATGAGACCAAAATCGAGCTCTTTGGCATCAACTCAACTCGACGTGTTTGGAGGAGGAGGAATGCTGCCTATGACCCCAAGAACACCATCCCCACCGTCAAACATGGAGGTGGAAACATTATGCTTTGGGGGTGTTTTTCTGCTAAGGGGACAGGACAACTTCACCGCATCAAAGGGCCGATGGACGGGGCCATGTACCGTCAAATCTTGGGTGAGAACCTCCTTCCCTCAGCCAGGGCATTGAAAATGGGTCGTGGATGGGTATTCCAGCATGACAATGACCCAAAACACATGGCCAAGGCAACAAAGGAGTGGCTCAAGAAGAGCACATTAAGTTCCTGGAGTGGCCTAGCCAGTCTCCAGACCTTAATCCCATAGAAAATCTGTGGAGGGAGCTGAAGGTTCGAGTTGCCAAACGTCAGGCTCGAAACCTTAATGACTTGGAGAAGATCTGCAAAGAGGAGTGGGACAAAATCCCTCCTGAGATGTATGCAAACCTGGTGGCCAACTACAAGAAACGTCTGACCTCTGTGATTGCCAGCAAGGGTTTTGCCACCAAGTACTAAGTCATGTTTTACAGAGGGGTCAAATACTTATTTCCCTCATTAAAATGCAAATCAATTTATAAAATGTTTGACATGCGTTTTTCTGGATTTTGTTGTTGTTATTCTGTCTCTCACTGTTCAAATAAACCTACCATTAAAATGATAGACTGATCATGTCTTTGTCAGGGGATCAAATACTTTTTCCCTCACTGTATGTTTCTCATAAGAACACAGAAAACAAAAACATTTCAAGGTTCAACATTCATTGAAGATGAAACAGTATTTTTCATCTACACAACACCGTTAAGACTAAAAGATAGTACAAACAAAACATGTTCCCCATTTTTCACATTTCTTAGTCAGGTATTAGTAAGCAAACAAAATAAGCAACAGTTGAGTCACACAAAACACAAGCTTAATGTGGTTTTAGCCTAATGGGTTAGACAAACCATGCTGTAAATCTCAACCATCCCATTCATGCAAAATATGCTTGTTCACTCGAAGCTTTCAAAGTTGTCTATGGCCAAAAACATTCACTCCATTTCACTGACCTGTAAACTTCTGAATCATACTGCTATCAATGTCTCTTCATCTTGTCTGTCTGTTACACAAAACCAACCATCACGCTAGCCTACAACCTGTGCTTGAACAATTTTCTAACTCTCAGCTGTACAGAACATACAGTATGTTTGGTTGGATGACCCAGCATATCGGTATTGTGTGTAAAATCCCCTCACACCACTTTGTTGCTTTGTCAATAGTTTTGTGGAGTGCGTCGTGTCCCACCCCCCTTGGTTTGGCCCTGCACCATTCAATTCCCAGCAATGTGTCAGTGTCAGCGTATAGCAGTCAGCCAGAGAGTGAGGGAGCTAGTAAACGAGAGAAGCAACACGAAGGCAAAAAGAGGAAGGAGGCAGAGGGGTGCTCTGTGATTGCATGGCGGGGGTGGCTGTGGAGAGAACACGACCATGCCACATTCCTGGGAACAGACATAATCAACTCACCCATCGCTAGCAACGTCATGCTTTTGGAGCAGTCTAGGAGAGCCAGAGAAGAGAACCACACAGACAAAAAAGTCACATTTGGGACAGAATTTATTTTCCTATTCTGGGAATAAGTAGAGGTGAAGTGATCCCTAACCACTATCTGGAGTTTTTCTCTCCCTCTAATGGTTAAGGTTAGGATTGGGAATCTAATCCTAGACAGACCTGTGGTAAGGGATGGCTACCTCCAGCCTCTGTCTTCAAGATTCATACAGGAGGGGAAAAAGATCAAGTGCATGGATGGACACACATAATGGTTCATTACAATGCATAGTCAAGTGCCCCTCCACTTCAGCTTCGTTCTCCTGGGGTTTCACTTTCCTTTTTATTGAAGGTGGGTGTGTATCACAGTTCGAGTACCACCTTCCTTTGATCTCTTCGAGACCAGAGCTAGGGTGATGTCACTGGAAACTCTACAGGACTTTTCCATGTGTGAGGGAAATACATCCAGATGCCTCAGACTCATGTTTGAATGGCCTGTTTTGTGAGTGTGTCACACAGAGAAATAGAACGTGGGTGCATGTGATTGTGAGTGTGTGAGAGGGAAGGTGTGTGTGTGTGTGTGTGCGTCATATGTACACTCACCTCCATATGTATTTGGACAGTGAAGCTACATTTTTTTATTTTGTCACCCCATTTGAAGAAATCACAAGTATTTGGACAAATGTACTTATAGTGTATTAAAGCAGTCAAAAGTTTCGTGTTTTGGATTATGTTATGCCTAACAGGAATTGAATGGTGAATAATGTCTTGTGCCATTTTGGAGTCAATTTTATTGTAAGTAAGAATAGAAGATGTTTCTGAACACTTCTACATTTATGTGGATGCTACCATGATTATGGATAATCATGAATGAATTGTGAATAATGATGAGTGAGAAGGTTAGCATGTTTTGTTGAACATTATCTCATTCATCATTATTCATGATTCATTCATGATTCATTCATGATTTTTCTTAATCATGGCATTATCAGGATTAATTTTGTTCTGAAACATCTTATCTACTCACTTAGAAAGAATGTTACTCCAGTCATCATTCACCATGCAGTTACTATTCCGCCAGGCAAGCTCAAAGGACCACAGCTAAAGTATTTGAAATGATTTCAAATAGTATTTTGAATCCAGGTCTGGTTTGGTGCAGTGTCTAGGTGTAAGTATGGGGTTCATCTCGGAAACCCAAAACTAAAATCTTGCGTAATTGCATCAGATGCTTGATTAGGTTCAGGAGGGAGATTATATACTGTATTTTATGAGAAAAGATACTAACAAGACTAGCAAAGTCTCCATCCCCCTAAACGGAAACTCTCAGCCAAAGCATGGGCCAAATGTTCCTCGTTAGTTGTCGCATCTCCGTCTGTTTGACAGACGCTATGTTACGTGTGTCTGTCCATGAGAGTGAGTTTGTGGTCAATAGCCTGAGTTATATATAGATCTTACTCATGTTCAATTCCTTATCATACCACTGTGCTCATACTGTTCCCTGCTCCCCAAGTCAGTATGAAGTTCCCTGATGTTGAGGAGACACTGTGTTGTTCCAAGGCAAATAGAGGTGCTAGGGTGATGTCATACTACGCCATTCGTGAACCACCTCTGATTGATTCCATGACAACAGCTTTCAGTCTGTTTTGTCTTTTTTTATTAAGCATGGGACAAAGTATTTTTAAATTCACAGGCAAAGGCAATCCATGAGCAGAAAACAACCCCCCCCCCAATTCTGATGGACGCATACATTTTTGGTCACTGCATTGACGACAGTACTCATGTGGTGGTGTCTAGAATTAGCACTTTTAAAAAGGTTGGCAGCAGTTATGCAAGTTGTACAGAAAGGTCATTCACTTAGGGTGTTGCGTTTTAGATCTTCAGAATCGTATAGCTTGTATGGTTTCAGAAAATACCACAACCTGGGTAAAAAAGGTCATTTGTTTAAATTAAAGAAGAAAACAACACACAACCCAGAGATTTGAGGCTCTGTCTCAAATGGCACCCTATTCCCTATATAGTGCACTACTTTTGACTAGAGCCTCACACGGTAGACATATGTGGGTCTGGGTCAGTCATAGTAGTACAGTGTCCCTGGAGCAAATTAGAGTTAAGTACTTTGCTCAGGGGCACGTCGACAGATTTTTCACCTTGTCGGCACGGGTATTCGAACCAGCAACTCTTCAGTTACTGGCCCAACGCTCTAACCGCTACGCTACCTGCTGCCCATAGCAGTGCACTATATAGGGTTTGGGGTGCCAAATGAGATTTGTTGTTTTCGGCAGCCATTTTAGTTCCTAACGGTTCAGAAAGGCTAACCTCTCGATCATCATCCTCTTCTTGTACCTAAGCCGACTAGCCTCCCTAATCGCCACCATTTTCTGCAGGTCGCCCTCGCTACAGGAAGTGGGCAGCGACGGACCCATCTGATTGGCTGACGTACCTAGATACGAACCCTGACCTTGGATACGCACTGCCCCCACCCCCACCCCGAGCACCACCCCAAACTTCCTCAGCAGCATGTCATCCGTTTTGGGGTGCCCGTCACAATCTCCTCTTTCCTCATGGTTCTCCCCGCCCTCAGCTTCAACCTCCTGGTTCAAAGGTGAGGGGGCGCAGAGCAGCCGTGCCTGGAGCTTGGCAGGCAGCGCCCACGGCTCAGGGATGTTCATCGGGTTGTAGCTGTCGGCAGCACCCAACAGTGGTCTCTGCCGCCGACCATCCTGGGGCGGGTTGACCTTCCGAAAGACAAAGTCGTCCCGCTCGATGTCGGGGATGACGGTCTTGTTGCCCTTGCCCGGCCTATGCGGCTGGGTGGCAATGCTGAGCTGGGGGTTCGAGGCGTAGAGCTGGCCGGACATGCGGTTTACACACACCTGGGTTTTCAGCACAGCCAGCTCCGAGTTGGAGTGGAAGGCCTGGGTGCGTCGGGCGAACATGTCGTCATTCTCCAGGTCAGGGAAGATGCTCGCCAGGGACTCATCCGATGGGTCTGGAGGCTCCAGGGGGTTGTCACGCCCCAGAAGGGGACGCTTCTCACATCTGACCAGCCGGGGGCCTGAGGTGGGGTCGATCTTGGAGAATACCACCGGGGAACGCTCAAAGTATGGGATGTTGGTGGGTTGCTTTTTGGGGGGCTGGTAGAGGGCAGTGTATTGTGGCTGAGTGTTGTAGGGACTGGAGGAGGGGGGGGGGGGGCGCGGGAGAGAGAAGAGAAAGAGAGAGGGTAGAGGGTTGATGAGTTGCATGCAAGTAGAATAGGAGGAAAACAGAAAGAGCTAGGAAAAGGAGGTTTAAAAAAAGGAAAGCTGTTTGATTCAAAACAGGGCTGCATCAAACTGGGGATCTTGTATTCTGAAGCATCTTATTCAAATCGTAAATGCTTGGCAAAGAGTACAGTATCTTAACATATGTACTGATGCAAATTGGACTAAACAGCAAGACAGCAAAGCGATTATACCTCAGTATAACTGGTATAACTGTCAAAACTGTCAAAACTGCTCTTCAAGGCATGTTAGGGCAAAGTTATTAGCTTAGCTTTGTGGCACAGTATCGCTGTTAGTACGTGAGGGAGGGCAGCCAATCAGAACTCCTGCCCTTTTAAGGCAATGTTCTAGACCAGTGCTCCTGTGATGTCACAATCAATCGAGCAGCTGTATCGACCTTTGATCTGCAGCCGGGTGGCTGGTGTGGGTGGAGCCTTCAGGTACATGGGGGTGAGAGGAGGGGGAGGGGCCTGAAGGGGCTGAGGAGAGCCAGCGACTGACATCGCAGTCAGAGTCGTCAGAGGATGAGCTGCCAGACTTCTTTCGGCTATGGCCCCAGAGAGAGGAGTGGGTGCAGAAAAGAAAGAGATAGAAAGAGAAAGAGAGAGGTGGGGAGAGAGAGAAAGAGAGAGGGGGGGAGAGAGAGAAGGGGGGAGGGAAAGTGAGGGAAAAAGAGAGTGGGGAAAGGGAGAGTAAGGCAAAGTGAGAAGAAAAGAGAGAAACAGAAGTCAGACAGGTGGAATCAACACAGTGAAGTAGTGTAAAAGTAGAGTAGAATAGTGCCCCACAGCAGTGCAGACCCAACTAATCAATCAAATGAAAGCTTTATGAATGATGTTAGAATCACATGGATTAAACAGACTATAGGGAATCACTGGAAAATGTTGTGATAGAAAGAGATAGAAACTGGAAACTGTGATAGAAAGATAATGAAAATTGTTGGTTATAGAGTGATAAAGTACTGTTATAGCAATAAGCATGGGCTGTGCTATTAGAAATATTGAATGGAAGAAAGAGTAAGGAAATTATGGTTTGTAAATGTTGACATTGTATGTACTAATGTTTTATATAGTATTTGAAATGTACAGTATGAACATGTGAATGGAATGTAAGTGCTTTAAATTATGACATTAAATCTGTGTTATGGGTATGATGATGCTGTAAGTGTGTGTGTGTGTGTGGTGTGTGCGGTCTTTAACATTGGCCCTCTCTGCATCGTCCGTCCCCCCCTCCCTGTCAGTATGTCCACAGACCTGAAGCCCTGGATCTTTTTGTACCAGGGTCTCCTCTGGGACCCCAGTTTGATCTTCTGCATGTGGGCGTCCTCCTCGGGCGTCCAGAACTTGGGTAGGAACCTGTCATATGACACGTCGACAGGTGGCTTGGGCGACACGCCCACTTTGCGGGCGTACAGGTCGTCCTGAACGGGGTCAGCGTACCCAACATCATCTTCCTCGTCTTCAGAATCGTCGTACATCTGTCGGAGGAGGCTATCAGTGGGGAGAGGATGGCGGTGGTCCACCCTCACTGAGCCCATCTGAGGCTGGGGGGAGCGCATCGGCGTCATTGGCCCACTGCTGCTACTCGAGAGAGAAAGAGACCAGCCAATCATATGAGTGGAAAGGGTTTATCAGGAAGTGCACACAAGCAATCACAGGCAGAGCAAGGAGCCTATAGTGTTGGAACAACCTTGGGTAAACGGCACACAATCTCCAATGAGAGCACACAAGGATAGGGTTAGAAGACAATGCAGAACCAAAACGAAAAACACATGATGAACAAAAAAATATTTTTGGGGATGTTTCAAATCAATTAAATCAAATCAATTAAATTAAATCAATTAAATCAAGTAAATGAAATCGAGTCAATGAAATTGGATATTTCGGATGGCAAGTCACTCACTCAGTCACTGCAAATCCAACTGCAAAAGGAACGAGCAAATACAACTAAAGAAAACAATCAAACAGAACAATCAAACACACACACAAAAAAAACGTATCAAATCAATCAGTTAGAAGCGGCCGGCAAGTTAAGACCAAGGTAACCTGCTACACTCATGGTTCTAGAAACCATGCAAACTGAAGCGCTCTCTCGTTCTCTCATTCTTTCTTTCTCCCACACTCGTTCATCCGGCAGGCGTAACAGAAGAAGCGCTCTCTCTTTCTCTCTCTCTCTGGTCAGATGGTCATCAGGCTTTCTGACCTGAGGCAGGTCACCGTCTGCCGCGGTGGGTCGTTCGTGTTCGTGGTCATTGTCACCATTGGCCAGGTCCCTCCTTTCGCCACTGAAACCCCTCCTCCCCCTCCTCCTAATCCCACGGCATTCCCGGCCTCCACAGGGCTGATTGGTAGTGCGAAGTTGGTAGGCGGGGCGGGGGAGGGACTGTGGAAGCGCCGGCTGGCCAGGTCATCCAGAACGAGGTCGGGGTCCGGCCGCTCGGGGTCGGACTCGTCGTCACTGCCACTCTCGTACTCGTACGCCCACTGCAGGTGGGCGGCGGGCAGGGAATTCTGGGATATGCATCTGTTGTTGGAGGATTCGGACCTGGTCTCACTGAGGTCAGTGTTCCGTGGTTAGTCGCAACAGGAGGATATGATGGTACAGTGCACACACACAACCATAACCATGGGACAATCATACACAACCATGGGAGAAACAACCAGTAGACAGACAGACAGACAGTGGAGATGATAGGAGAGGAGTGTGTAAGGACAGGGCAGGGATCAGGGTATGGCATACAGTAGATTTAAACCACATAGAGTCAGAACCATTTCTTATACAGTATTCACCAGTGCAAAGTGGAAGTTTTATTCCGTGTGAAAGAAAACAAGCTGGCTTATAAAGCTAGCTTACTGTAGCTTAATGTAGTTTCATAACGATCAAAGAAACTGGGTGGCAAGGTTTGGCTCGATACCATTTCGATTTAATAGAAGGATACCAATTCACCTGAATTTGACTGAATTAAAATGGAATTGAGCCCCACCCTTCTGGATGATTTAACCATTGACAGACCAGTGAACAGGCCGTAATGAACATTTTACACTTCTATTGGCCCTTCGTATATCTGAAAGGATTTGCTAGAGCAGCACCTGTGGATAAAGACTTGAGGCAGCTGATTTCTGGTGTATAAGCTATAGGTGTGTGTATGACTCTGCTACCTGGTGAAGGTGCCATCCTCCTCTGTGTACATGGGGCTGGCCCAGCTTCGGCGGCTGTCCTCGTGGCGCTCGGCCCGCTTCTTGCGGAGCGGCGCTGGCACGTAGGCCGCCGGCTTGTCCTTGGTGGGCAGGAACTGGTTGAACTGTGTGGTCGTTTTGGGTGCGATGACCAGCGAGCGGCGGTAGTGCAGCGAATCCTTGTTACTGTCCGCCGCCATCCTGAAGACTGAGTCCGTGTCACTCCCACAACCTAGGGGGGTGAGGAGAAATAGAGAAGGAAGAGGGGAGAAATTGAAGAGGAAGGGGGAGGGAAGAGTAAGAGGAGAGAAAAAGTAGAAAGAGGGAGAAGTCCAGTGAGGGTTGTGGAGGGGGAGATAAGAGGTAAAAGAGAGAATAGCAAAGTGGAGATTGGAAAGGGAGGTAAGGGGAAGGGAAGGTGGGAGGAGGGACCTGCTCTCCTAGGCCTTAAACACCACCAACCCCTATCTAAGACCAAACCAAAACCTATTCGACTTAATTAAAATAACTATTGTATAATAGAAGTAGAAAATAGCTTTTTGTGTAATATATTGTTCTCCTTACAGTGAGTTTGATGAGTTGTGAAGAGAAAATACATATCATTAAATGTATCAACCACTCGAGAGCGATATGTATTTATTTTTACAAGTAGTTTGCTCTCTTAAACTGATGCTACATGTTTTTTTATCCCAAAACATTATTTGTTTTACATTGAGACTAAGACATTGTATTATGAAAATATTCCTATTTTTGTGTCGGCTGCGAGACTTTGAACTGATAAACTAGTTCACACACTGTCAAATGTCAACAAAGATCCGATATTGGTAAAATCAACACGCTCAGTGTGAATTTCACAGATATTCTCAGATAGTCCTAAGGAAACAATACCATCTACCCTTCAAATACCATCACGTTAACACAATCACTACTGCTCAAGATCTCAGACTAAGATATAGAGGTATACTATTATTAGCCAAAAACAAAGCATAACAAAATATACCCAAAACACACTCAAGTCCTGTCCGAGTGGAGTGTGTGATAATTGAGATTGGTGTGTGTGTGTGTGTGTGTGTGTAAAAGCGTAACAAAGTTTAACCAAAACACGCAACTTGGGTCCTGTCCGATTGAGATTGACGTGTGTGTGTGTGTCTCTGTGTGTCTGTGTGTAGTTGAGATTGACAAGTGTGTGTGTGTCCATACCCTCACTGTTGCCTTTGAGTGTTGTTCGAGGATTTGCTATGTGGTCTAGAACCCAGGGAGTCCAAGCTATCCAAAGAGTCCCCTCTTCTGTGTCCTCCTCCTCCTCCTCCTCCTCTCAGTATAGGGAATAGATCGTCTTTGTCACTGTACCAGCTGTCTCCAAAACCACTGTCTCTTTCTCTTAAGCTGCTGCTGCTGCTGCTAAGGCTGCTGGCTCTCTGGCCGGACGATTCCTTGAGTGCCTGCAATACATACAAACACACAAACATTTGAAAGACAGAATGTTGTGTCTCTTAGTCATTTAGCTTTTTAGGGTTATCCTCACTGGGTACATGACAACTCACACACGTACACATGCACACACACACACCTCCCCGACACACATACTTCTGATGACCACAACTCCAACGCATAAATGTTTTCCGCTCTGACTCATACAAGCACAACCCAGTTAGCCATGCGTTGTGTGATGATGGCGACCATGATAACTGTTGACTGTCTAAAGACTGGCTTAGCGTAAGCACTCAAACTGGACAGTTTTATTTCCATCTACACATTCAAAGACTTAATCATGGACACTTTTACTGACACTTTTGGCTGCTTCGTGTGATGTATTCCCAGCTAGCAATGAGGAATCGGCCCAGAAACGGCCCTCTTCCGGGTGGCCGGATCTGATTGAATCGGCCCGGAATCGGGTGTCAGGCTCGGCCCGGAATCAAAATGAATGACTGCACAGAATCGGCCCAAGTACATCGGCCCGTTTCCGTCTACCGGAATTCAGACGACTTTGCCGGCATCTTACCAGAATCCCCCCCGAAGCGGGCCGATGCAAATTTAAATATTACTATTATACATTTTATACCCATCCACAAAGTTAAATTTTTTATTTTTTACCCCCTTTTCGTCATATCCAGTTGGTAGTTACAGTCTTGTCCCATCGCTGCAACTCCCGTACGGAGTTACTACTTAAACAGATTTTTTTTTTAAATGTTTATTTTATTTTTTTGATCACAGAAAATATGGAAAAATGAAATGTTAATGTTAATTATATAAAGCAGCACGTGTAATCATCTGCCAGAGAGTAGCCACAATCGGCCCGAGAACCTAGGAATACATTTGGGCCAGATAACTCACACCGGAATCGGCCCGAGCTCAATCCCAGCATCCTAGCCATAAGTAATACTGCCGGGCCACATGAATTGGCCCAGATCCACTGTGCTAGCTAGGTTTTTGTCTCTACCTTTTTGCCCTTTGTACTGTTGTCTGTGCCTAACAATATTTGTACCATGTTTGTGCCGCCACCATGTTGTTCTGCTGCCATGTTGTGTTGCTACCATGTTGTGTTGTTGTCATGTTGTGTTGCTACCATGTTGTGTGGTCATGTTGTGTTGCTGCCATGTTGTATTGTTGTCTTAAGTATCTCTTTATGTAGTGTTGTGGTGTCTTTCTTGTCGTGATGTGTGTTTTGTTCTACTTTTTTATGTATTATCCCAACCCCTGTCCCCACAGGAGGCCTTTTGTCTCTTGGTAGGCCGTCATTGTAAATAAGAATTTGTTCTAAATGGACTTGCCTAGTTAAATAAATGTTAAATAAAATAGAACAAAAATGGCCTGGAGCCTCTCTAACCAGCCTGCTTCCCAACAAGCAACAACTTGTCAGCTGCTCCCTATGAAACAATAACTGCCTTGGCTTCCAAATGGCACCCTTTTCCCTATATAATGTAATTCTTTTTGAACAAATTCCTATGGGCTCTGGTCAAAAGTGATGAAATATGTAAGGAATAGGGTGCCATATGGGACACAGACAATGTCAGATTTGTAATTGACTTTGAATCCAGGGCTAAACAATGCTATTCTATGCTATTCCCTACGGAGCTCGGCTTAACTTTGCTTCACTGATCTCGGACTGGAACAGATAAATGCATGGAACATGTCGTAACCAACCATCACTTTTGCCTGTTTTTAATCGTATAAAATCCAATGGTATAGAGTGTAATCGGAAGGGTTGAATGTGCTTGGTAAATCTAACTGTAAACAAACCAAACTGTAAAATTCAGCAATGTCACGACACACACAAACACATGTACATGCATGTGCAAAGACAGACATACACACACCGACACACACACTTTTATGCATGTATCAAGTGACCTATGGGCTCCTGAAGTAAACAAGATTAAAATAGCTGCGTCAGGAGATTGGATCAGTTATGACTTAACGTTGCTATGTTTTTAGTGCCGACTGTCAAGTATTTTGAGCCTGAAGCCCCTTGGCCAATGGGCTGGCTTCCTCAAAACATAGCTAAAATACCAGGAAGGATGTAGAGATGTGATGGTCTGTGAATGTAAAAGAGGATTTCATTCATACGATTTGATTCCTAGCTATGCTGATTACTCAAAGCATTACTTGGTAGCACACATAACATAAAAACTGTAGTTTGAATAACAATGTGCAGGTACATCAGGGTTGAGGTCCATTCCAATTCAATTCAGTCTCATGAACTGAAATTCCAATTAAAGTATTGAAAAATCCTAATTGAAACTAAAAGGCACCTTTCCATTCTCGAATTGAAATGGAATGTCCATCAATTGATGGACCCCAAACTTAACTAGCCCACTGTAGTACAGTGAGGCGGCTTAACTTTGAATAGCGCTAATACCGTAGCCTGGTCATTGTCGTGCAAACTCCTATGGTTAAACACATTGGCAAGACAGTACAAACAGATCTGGGACCAGGCTATTATTACTGCACCCATAGAAATATAATTACTAAAAGGGACAAACATAAAAATAGAATGGGTTATATTGAGTATAATAGAGTGAATAATTATAGAACAATAAAGTGTTAACCTAGCCTAGCACAGCATACAGTAAGGTTATATATTTACCTTGGATACTGCTGCTATGCCCAGTAGTCGTTCGAAGGCCTTGAGGTTTAGGTTAGGTCTATTATAGAAAGGTTTGCTTTGTGCCTTCCTACCCAGCCAGTATATGGTGATCAGCACCTGGGAGAAAGAGGACATGAGCTATTACAAAAATCATAATTTTAATGTATGCACAAGTACTTTACAGGAGCAATGCCAATGTCTCTAAACGCAGAGACTGGGTGGGCGCAGATGCTTTTTGCCAGAGTTTTTTCTACTTCTACTAGATCAGCTATTAAACAGAATAAACAAGCAGACCTGGGTTCAAATAGTACTTGTTTTCTTTCAAATACTTTGATTGTTTGAGGAGTGCCAGATGGGCAGGGTTTGCACTTGTGGGACTATACAATTGGTTATATGCCAGGCACCCTCAACAAGTGTGGCTAAAGTATTTGAAAGAAAACAAATCCTGTTTGAACTCATGTAAACAGTGGAAAACAGTAGGACATAGTTATATATTGATGAGAACACACTTACAGTACATTCTAGCAGCACACTAGATAGCCTACATATAGTATGGACTGTTAGGATGGATCATGATTAGATTTCTGTATTGTTATTGTATAGTAATGCCCATACAGAGGTTATACTGGCCGCTGTGGCCCCTGTGGCCACTAGTGTCCAGCTCTTTGCTTTCCTGCCTCATCCAGAACCGTCTGATACATCGCTATTTGTTTGTGTGCACTGACCTGACCTATACCTCTTGTAAACATGCAGGGCTTTGAATCATGTTTTAGAAACGTAATGTAACTCTCAACAATGCAATTCCATGAGCACTACAGATATCACAGAAATCAGGTGCAATTTGCAGGTAAAAAATGTTGAGGGATGCATTTACTCCAGTTTTACAGTACGTTTTTGTCGGTGACCCACTCTTTGATGCTAGTTCCACTTTATGTTCAGATTTCTGCATATTACATGGTAATTATATTTTGTATTGGCAGCACAGGGTAATGCTAACTACAGTGCATATTACAGGCCTTCTCTGCAAAAACATTGCTCAAGAGTCTTTAGACTAAAGCGGATACCTCGTCAGTTGCACAACTGAATGCATTTAACAAAAAATGTGTCTTCCACATTTAACCTAAGCTGCGACATCATCAGCGCCCGGGGAGCAGTTAATTACATTGCTCAAGGGCAAAACGGCAGATTTTACCACCTTGCTGGCTCAGGGATTCGAACCAGCAACCTTTCGGTTATTGCTCCAACACTCTTAACCGCTAGGCTACCTGCTACCCCCTAGCCTAAGCTACCTGCTGCACCAGAGAGTGATCTGGGTATGGTATTATGTAAATCACTTCTAATGCACATTGTCTGGCTTCTATTGACGCGGTCTGATGGTTAAGAAATGACTACATACTGTATACAGTATATTGGAATGCAGCAATAGGATGGATAAACACATACTGCAAGTACCCTACAATCACCCTACTGTTCCATTGGATTCTACAGTAGTGGGCAAAGCCAATCTCAGCCATCTTCTCAAACGTTCCCAAATAAAATAAAAACTTTTCCACTCACATTTGTCAGTCTCCTGCTGGTCCCTTGATAGGTGTGTGTATGAGAGAAGTGTATGTGGGAGTGTTTGTGTGGTTTATCACTCACTGCCTGCGAAAATGACAATAAAATAATAGCGTGTTTTGGTCTGTGTGCTTCCCCCACTGAAAGAGCTGGAAAGTGAGAGCACAATCCAGGCGGCGACTGCCAGCCCTCGAATCACCCCTGCCCCCCTCACACAACAACAGAACAACACAAAGGCTGGGGATGGGATGGAGTGGAGGCCACACACACAAGCACACACACACACAATTTCTGTCAATGGCCATACGCACACAGACTCACACACATACATACAGTGCCTTCGGGAAGCAAAAACAGGTTTAAAAAAATTGAAATATTACATTTATATAAGTATTCAGACCCTTTACTCAGTCCTTTGTTGAAGCACCTTTGGCAGCGATTACAGCCTCGAGTCTTCTCGGGTATTACATTTACATTTACATTTACGTCATTTAGCTGACGCTCTTGGATTTATTGATCATTTATGGCTATCAAAGAAGATGCATGCATACATAGTTGGCAATAAAACTGTCTTAATTAAGTACATTGATTGTATCAAAGAGATATCCTCCAGTCTCTTTTAGAAGTTTATGTTCTCATACACTTTATCTCAAGTCTGACTTGAGAACCTTCCTGTGTGTGCGTGTGCATTGGTGGTTAGGCGTTTGGTCCATATTTGCGTCGGTTATTTACGACAGTCACTAAATACCACACAGCCATAACAATAATTGGTCTTTGAAGGGTAAAAAGCAGAGGTAAGAAAATAATGTGAGGTCCTGACACAGATTTATATGAATTTAAACCTCCCAAATACAGTAACACACAGCCTGCACACATAGATTCTCAGACAGTCAGAGATATACACCCCCAAAACATTCCACTTTTCCAGAAGTTCAGTCATATTTTTGGTTCTTGTGTATACTGACCCACAAACGTCAGTAAATCAGCCTAGTAGTAGAAGTATTGAGTCTCGATGGGTCGCTTTGCAAGTGCAACCAAACTACACCAACAAACAAAGCACATTCTAACCTTCCTGAACTTACACTCTGCCTCCAATTACTCTCCATATGTCACATGTGAAGAGGACAGTAGTACGTACATCATGTGTGCTTCAACAGGGGACAAATAGCGCTGTAAAGTAGCGCGCTAGCATGATAACCACAGTGACAGAGGGATATACTGTATACAACCCTTCTCTCTGTCTCTCCGTGCTCCGCATTCCTCCCATCACACGACGATAATACAATACTCACAACACACTGAGCACTGTGTGTGTGTGTGTTATGTCCTGTGGCCCTTGCTTTTACCCAGCATGCAATGGGGCTGGTGTGGCTTGGAGCACTTGCTGAGTATACTGGGGGTGAACATTCCGTTCTGACAACTGAGTTGCTGCGACGACGACCATCTGACTTTCCATTAAAACGTTCAGAATTCTGCCTCTGCTTCGGTTTAGCATGAAAAGCGACAACAAGAAAACATATAGGTATGAGAAAGGTTCATTTCAGTTTGAAGTTAAATTATAGGTGTTGTTATCCCAATATAAATTTTTTGATGATCTTTCCACTTTATTAACAAATAAACATCTCGCTTTATCTCTGGTGCGGCCTGGAACAAAGTCTACATTCTTAACATTTATGGTGCTGCCAGGGCTGAAGAGGCAAGGTTACCTAATGCTAATTTATGAGGGCTGGTAATGGATGTAGGCCTTGTTAGGGGAACATGGGATAAAGACCTATTCTCTGTCCCCCTCAGGCCTGTACTGACGCCTCACCACCGGATCAGCTGAGAGAGAGCTATCAACAGCACCAGGCATTGTGACTGTTATTGGTCGCATACACATATTGAGCAGATGTTATTGCGGGTGTAGCGAAATGCTTGTGTTCCTAGCTCCAACAGTGCAGTAATATCTAACAATACACAACACAACAAACAAATCTAAAAAAGTTAAAGAATGGAATTAACAAATATAGAAATATTAAGACGAGCAATGTCAGAGTCGAGTATAAATATATATATATATATATATATATATATATATATATACACACGATGAGATGTAGATAAATTATGGACAGTATATGACAGAATATGTAGAATATCTGAAGAGTACGTAGGATAGAATAGTATATGTACAGCAATAGTTAAACAGGATAGGCCTTGACCAGAATACAGTATAGTGGGTCAAGCAGTATGTAAACATTATTAAAGTGACCAGTGTTCCATTATTAAAGTGACCAGTGTTCCATGTCTATGTACATAGGCAGCAGCCTCTAAGGTGCAGGGTTGAGTAACCAGGTGGTAGCCGGCAAGTGGAGACTAAAGTTCAGGGCAGGGTACTGGCCCAAGGCCGGCTAGTGGTGACTATTTAACAGTCTGATGGCCTTGAGATAGAAGCTGTTTTTCAGTCTCTCGGTCCCAGCTTTGATGCACCTGTACTGACCATGCCTTCTGGGTGGTATCGGGGGGAACAGGCCGTGGCTCAGGTGGCTGAGGTCCTTGATGATTTTCTTGGACTTCCTGTGACACCGGGTGCTGTAGATGTCCTGGAGGGCAGGTAGTGTGCCCCCGGTGATACTATGGGCAGACCACACCACCCTCTGTAGATCCCTGTGGTTGCGGACGGTGCAGTTGCCGTACCAGGGAGTGATACAGCCCGACAGGATGCTCTCAATGGTGCAGCTGTAAATGTTTGTGAGGGTCTTAGGGACCAAGCCAAATTTCTTTAGCCTCCTGAGGTTGAAGAGGTGCTGTTGCTCCTTCTTCACCACACTGTCTGTGTGGGTGGACCATTTCAGATTGTCAGTGATGTGTAAGCCGAGGAACTTGAAACTTTTCACTTTATCTACTGCGGCCCCATCGATGTGGGTGAGGGTGTGCTTCCTCTGCTGTCTCCTGCAGTCCACGATCAGCTCCTTTGTTTTGTTGACGTTGAGGGAGAGGTTATTTTCCTGGAACCACTCCGCCAGGACCCTCACCTCCTTTCAGTAGGGTGTCTCATCGTTGCTGATAATCAGGCCTACCACTGTTGGGTCGTCTGCAAACCTGATAATTGAGTTGGAGGCGTGAGTGGCCACACAGCCATGGGTGAACAGGGAGTACAGGAGGGGACCGAGCACTCACCCTTGTGGGGCCCCTGTGTTGAGAATCAGCATAGTGGAGGTGTTGTTGCCTACCTTCACCACCTGGGGGCGGCCCGTCAGGAAGTCCAGGACCCAGTTGCACAGGGCAGGGTTCAGACCCAGGGCCCTAGCTTAATGATGAGCTTGGAGGGTACTATGGTGTTGAAGACTGAGATGTAGTCAATGAACAGCATTCTTACGTACAGTGAGGGAAAAAAGTATTTAATCCCCTGCTGATTTTGTACGTTTGCCCACTGACAAAGACATGATCAGTCTATAATTTTAACGGTAGGTTTATTTGAACAGTGAGAGACAGAATAACAAAAAATCCAGAAAAACGCATGTCAAAAATGTTATAAATTGATTTGCATTTTAATGAGGGAAATAAGTATTTGACCCCTCTGCAAAACATGACTTAGTACTTGGTGGAAAAAAACCTTGTTGGCAATCACAGAGGTCAGACGTTTCTTGTAGTTGGCCACCAGGTTTGCACACATCTCAGGAGGGATTTTGTCCCACTCCTCTTTACAGATCTAAGGCCACTCCAGGACCTTAATGTGCTTCTTCTTGAGCCACTCCTTTGTTGCCTTGGCCGTGTGTTTTGGGTCATTGTCATGCTGGAATACCCATCCACTACCCATTTTCAATGCCCTGGCTGAGGGAAGGAGGTTCTCACCCAAGATTTGATGCTACATGACCCCGTCCATCGTCCCTTTGATGCGGTGAAGTTGTCCTGTCCCCTTAGCAGAAAAACACCCCCAAAGCATAATGTTTCCACCTCCATGTTTGACGGTGGGGATGGTGTTCTTGGGGTCATAGGCAGCATTCCTCCTCCTCCAAACACAGCGAGTTGAGTTGATGCCAAAGAGCACGATTTTGGTCTCATCTGACCACAACACTTTCACCCAGTTCTCCTCTGAATCATTCAGATGTTCACTGGCAAACTTCAGACGGGCCTGTATATGTGCTTTCTTGAGCAGGGGGACCTTGCGGGCACTGCAGGATTTCAGTCCTTCGTGGCGTAGTGTGTTACCAATTATTTTCTTGGTGACTATGGTCCCAGCTGCCTTGAGATCATTGACAAGATCCTCCCGTGTAGTTCTGGGCTGATTCCTCACCGTTCTCAAGATGAACTCCACGAGGTGAGATCTTGCATGGAGCCCCAGGCCGAGGGAGATTGACAGTTATTTTGTGTTTCTTCCATTTGCGAATAATCGTACCAACTGTTGTCACCTTCTCACCAAGCTGCTTGGCGATGGTCTTGTAGCCCATTCCAGCCTTGTGTAGGTCTACAATCTTGTCCCTGACATCCTTGGAGAGCTCTTTGGTCTTGGCCATGGTGGAGAGTTTGGAATCTGATTGATTGATTGCTTCTGTGGACAGGTGTCTTTTATACAGGTAACAAGCTGAGATTAGGAGCACTCCCTTTAAGAGTGTGCTCCTAATCTCAGGTCGTTACCTGTATAAAAGACACCTGGGATCCAGAAATCTTTCTGATTGAGATGGGGTCAAATACTTATTTCCCTCATTAAAATGCAAATCAATTTGTAACATTTTTGACATGCGTTTTTCTGGATTTTTTTGTTGTTATTCTGTCTCTCACTGTTCAAATAAACCTACCATTAAAATGATAGACTGATAATTTCTTTGTCAGTGGGCAAACGTACAAAATCAGCAGGGGATCAAATACTTTTTTCCCTCACTGTAGCTATTCCTCTTGTCCATATGGGATAAGGCAGTGTGCAGTGCGATGGTGATTGCGTCAGCCGTGGATCTAATGGGGCGGTACGCAAATTACAGTTGGTCGTGTAAGGTGGAGGTGATATGATCCTTATCTTTCAAAGCAGTTCATGATGACAAAAGTGAGTGCTAAGGGGCAATAGTCATTTAGTTCAGTTACCTTTGCTTTCTTGGGTACAGGAACAATATGACTGTAAACACTCCAGCCAGCTGGTCTGCGCATGCTCTGAGGACACAGCTAGGGATGCCGTCTAGGCTGGCAGCCTTGCGAGGCTTAAATGTTTTACACGTGTGTAACCACAGAGAACGAGAGCTCACTGTCCTCGGAAGTGGTGGTGGCCCACGTCGGCAGCACTGTGTTTTCCTCAAAGCAAGTGAAGGTGCTTTGCTTGTCTGGTAGCAAGACGGTGGTGTCCGCGACGTGGCTGGCTTTCCCTTTATAATCTGTGATTGTCTGGAGTCCCTGCCACATACTGCTCTGTCTGAGCCATTGAATTGTGCCTCCACTTTGTCTCTGTACTGACGTTTAGTCTGTTTGTACTCAACCATATTCCCAGTCACCTTGACATGGTTAAATTCGGTGGTTCGCGCTTTCAGTTTTGCGCGATTGATGCCATCTATCAACGGTTTTTGGTTTGGATAGGTTTTAATCGTCATGGTGGGAACAACATCCCCTATACACTTCCTGATTAACTCATTCACCGTGCAGTGTATACGTCAATTTTATGCTACGAGGCAACCCGGAACATATCCCAGTCCGCATGATCAAAACAATCTTGAAGCATGATTCCGATTGGTCAAACCAGCGTTGAACAGTCCTTATGACGGGTACTTCCTGTTTGACTTTCTGCCTATAGGAAGGGAGAAGCAGAATGGAAGCATGATCTGATTTGCCGAAGGGGGGGGGGGGGGGGGGGGGGGGGGTAGTACTTGTAGCCGTCCAGGAAGGGAGAGTAGCAATGGTCGAGAGTTTTTGAAGCGCGAGTAGATGTGCGAGTATACATTTTCTAATGGTATCAGGTATCTTTTTAAAATATTTTGTGTTAAAATAAAGGGGGATTCCGCTTTGAGATTGGATCCGGAGGTACCTGCGCCTTCGTCCCCTGTTCTGTCTCCCTCTCCGGTGTCTTCTACGGTGAATGAGGCTTCGTTGGTTATGGGAGGCTTGAACCGGGTGCCAAGAGTTGCGGGCGTGTGAGATTCCGCCCCTCGCAAATCCTCGACGGGTCTTCCGAATCATGCTAGGCATAGGAATAGGCAGATTTCCTCTCCCATCTCGCCCGGTGTTGTTTTAGGCAGCTCTATGGTAAGAAACGTATTGGTTCCTGGGCTGCTCCCCATTGTTCTACGTCAGCACATGGAGGAGATTGATGCTGTTGTAGTCCATGTGGTAATGAATGACATTAGGAATGGTAGCTCGGAACGGCTGAAACAGGATTCTGAAGAACTGATTGGGTCTCTGCTGGACACCAAAAAGCGTCCTATAATTTCTGGCCCTGTGCCCTCGAT